GGCAGGAGGATCACTTGAGGTCGGGAATTTGAGACCAGCCTGAGCAAGAGCGAGACCCTGTGTCTACAAAAATTAGAAAAAAATTAGCTGGGAGGCTGAAGCAGGAGGATCGCTTGAGCACAGGAGTTGGAGGTTGCAGTGAGCTGTGATGACACCACTGCACTCTACCTGGGAAACAGAGTGAGACTCTGTCTCAAAAACACAAACAAAAGACACCAAAGACAAGCAGAGCGCGTGTCATGGTCACCGTCTATGGAGTGGGAAGCCGGCAAGGGCACGAGAGTCCCGCTGCTGGTGGCCGCGTGGAGCAAGGTCAGACGCCGCTCAGGCTCCGGCTCCCACCTGCCCAACCAGTCTCCGGCGGCTGTCACCCCAGCAACGCCCGTTCTATTCCAGTGCTCCTGGAGGGGAATCGACCTGCCCGTTTGCTTCCTTTCTGAACTTTCCAGGAAAGAACGGAAGGAGCCGTTTTAGAAGCTGGAGCTGGCGGCACCAGCTGGCTGCCTGACGCGGGTGAGCCCACGGCAGACGAGAGTGACGTGGGATAATCCGAGGGTGAGACTGAGGAGAACTCGCAGGCTCTGTCTGCCCGGAGGCTTGTGTGAAGAATGTCACCCACGGTGTCATTTCCATGGGAAAGAACCCAGAGCAAGTGGCTTCTGTGGCAGAACACATGAGAAAACGCTGAGTGTTCTTCGGGAGCAAACCGGGCTGTGTGCGGAGGGTGATCCCAACGGCGGGAGGGGCCGCGTGCGCACATGTGTGGATTATGGGCGAGTTCAGTTGTCTTTTTTATTTTCTAAATTTTTCATAATGCATTTAAAAACAGCTTCGTGGGCGTGCAGACATGACAAAGGGCAGAGCACGCTCCGTGCCTGCCCCAGAGCCCGTCAACTCCGGGCAAAGCGCGAGCCACGCACTCCGTGGGGCAGCGGACTGAGTCTTTGCTGTGGCTTTAAGGGCTGTGCTCGGAGAAGCCGATGTTCCCTCTGCGTGTGATGTCACAAAACAATTTTATTGACTCTCTCAAGGCTCTTTTTTGTAATTCAAAATTATATTTTCATCTATTTTAAATTATAAAAGCAATTATTGGTCTTTCTAAAAAATTCAAACAACACAGAAGTATATAATGGAAAAAGAACAGTTCCTCTCCTGACTCCAGTCCCACCGGCTGGAAGCAACGGCGTGACTAGTTTCACGTGTAACCTCGAAAGCCTCTTCCTAGGCGCGAACGACGTCATCACTTGTCTATTCCATCGCGGACACCCAACCACAGCCTCGTAGGTCTCACTCACTGATCTGAACGGCTGTAAAGTATTCTATTACATGGATGCATCATTTTAAATTAATTCCTACATATTAATGCTTTCTTTTGGTTTTCAACCTTTTGCTATTACAAATGCTGTTGTAATGAACATCTTTGGACACATGTCATTATACGTACATGTGGTTTTTAAGAATATGTTTTTCTGAGCAAGATTGCTGGTTGAGGCTCTATCCATTTATAATTTGGATAGCTACTGCAAATTGCCCTACGCAAAGGTAGTATTTTACTCACCCACCAACCGTATCTGAGAGTTCATATTTCCCCACACCCTTGAAAGCCAACCTCTGGATAGAATCAATCTTTGGAATTTGCTAACTGAGAGAAGAAAAAAGTCCTATTACTTTTGTAATCAGAACAAAATTCGATAAATCTTTTTTTTTAAGCACATGACAGACCATTTTTAACATTCCTTTGCGGCTCCTAAAGCAGCTATGAGCTCTATAAACCGACACGGGGAAGAGAGAAGCTCGTTTCATCAGTCAAAGGAGAACCGTGCAAAGAACGCGGCACTTTGTCGTCAGACACCGTGAGGAACCCGCTGCGAACCGGTCACAAGCTGGCCAGGACTGTCACTCCAGCCACGCTCTGGGCTGCTCCGTCCTCCCCCCACAAGCTGCACATTGCTGCAACTCTGCATATGATTTTGCTGCCTGGTGGAGGTGTTAGTTTCCTTTACACCTTTGAAGCAGTTCAGGGTTTGGTGTTCTGCTGTTTCAGGGGTTCGGTCTTCGCCTTAGAGCTGTTTTTAGTTCATGTGTGAAGCAGGCTCATTTTAAAAAGTTCCTAATGCATTTTATTATGCAGACGTGTCATTAGATGATTAATTAGATCAATAAAAAGAATACCCTATGAAACCCACCTAGTAGGAAAATATTTTTAATAAAAATAACAAGATTAAACATGACCTGCTTCTTCTAAAGTTTAGAAAGGTCTCTAATGAATGTAAAAGAAAAATCACTTTGAGTCCTGCGGCTGTGGTTGCCATCAGTGGTCACCGATAACACCGGTCAGAGCAGCGTGGCTTTCGATCAGCACACCTAGAGCTTGTCGTGTCAAGCCACAACCAAACCAGAGTTGTTTTCACGTACTCGGCGGGTCAGATGAAAGCTTATTCATGTCCTAACTGCCTCCTGCGTGTGGCGTTAGCTCCCACACGGACCCTCCTGGACTCATCGGCAGTATCCACGACCTGGACCTGCACGCGGGGCCAGACCACGGGGCTGACACCCTCTGGCTCCTCCATGCCGGTGGGAACTCGCGACAACTCGCAGATGTACGCATGGAGGAACACAAAGGCACCGGGGTCGCTGCTACGGCTAAACAAAGGGCGGGCGGCACCAGCCACAGAGAAGACGCCAGCCTTGCTTGCACACGAGTGGAACACGCACGCATGTGCGCAGCGGGCTCCTGACAGACTGCGGTCCCCGCCTGGCATTCCGCGTGCCCGTGGGGAACTTCCTCCCGAAATCGGCCCATGTGAACTCACGGAAGCCTCATGCACTGTAACGCGCAGGAAATGAAAGCAAATCCTTTGGGAAAAACCAACTTCATTTTTAAGTTTAAGAAAAATGAGGTTTGGGTCACCGAGGCCACTCCTCCCTTTTCTCATTCGCTGGTAACTGAGAACAGCTGTTTATCAAGGACTTCAAGAAAAGTCTCTCATTGTCACACCAAGAAGTCACCACAATTCACAACCACTGCCCCTTCAGCAAGGAGGAGGAACGACCGTCCGCTTTCCTCATCACTGGCCTCGCCTGCCCGAGAGCCAGGCCGCATCGAGGAAACCAAACTTCTGTTAACGTTAAACTAAATCCCATTTAACTTCTGGACAGACCACACGCGGTTCCAAAGGACAACTCACCAGCCACAACCCCGGCGTCTAACTGTGGCCCAGCTCTCGCTCACTGATAAGTTGGGTCGCTCTCGTTTACTGCGTACGAATTCCAGCATTCGTTAACCAAGAGTCTCAGTGATCCGTAAAGGGCCCTGATCTTCCCTCCGTCTGCGGGGACAACGCGCCCACGGCCACTCGACGGTAAGCAGGCAAAGCCCAGCGCGTCTCGGTAAGACGCCTGCCGACCACAGCCTAGTCCACACGCCAGCCATCTCTCGGGTTGTTTCCTTCATACTTTGCCCTGACTACAAAGGTACTTCGTGCTCAGTTAGAAACTGCAGAAAAGACTGAAAAAACAGACAGACACATTGAGCACCACCACGATCGTGTCGCGTGGGAATCCACAGTTGGGACTTGCTCCCTCTGGCCCCTTCCCGACGCGCGTCTGTGTTTGTGCACGGCACGTGCAACAGGCCTTCTGTACAACCACTTTCTTGGCTTTTTCCTTTTAAAAAAATGTTATCGTGAGCATTTCCTTATGACACTAACTCATTTTAATGGTCAATTTCTTAACAGCTCCAATAACATCTCATCAAATATTCCACAATTCCTAACCACTCACCCTCTGCTGGACCCTTCAGTGAACCCCGATTTTCACTGTTAGGAATAATGCAGAGATCGTCCACATCACTGATTGTTTCGGAAAGACAGTATTTTAACAAAGCAATTACTGGGTCAAAGGGAATATTTAAGGCTTTTGATACTTACTGCCAAATCGCTTTCTGGAAAACTTGGGCCATTTTACACGCCTGCGTTCACTTACAGAGTGAGCTCTCCCCGCGAAGAGGCTCAGCAAATTAGAACTTTATTACCTGCCTGAGTACTGACTATTTTGTGTTTTTATGGACAAAAAAATCAGTATTCACTAAGGGGAAAGGAAAGTGGAAAAGCCACAATAAAGGGTCCAAATTCTTTCCACGGAAATGACCGACATGTAGCTTTATGTACAGTTAAGAATCAGCTGTGGCTTTCGGTTCTCAATTACTTATGTGAGGGAAGGGGACGAAGCTTTCTAAGAATGTGCTTTAGACTTAAGGACTCTACGCTGACCAAGTGCGGCTCCCGCTCCGCCCCACGGTGAGCTCTGGAGCGTCGCCCTGGCCACGCCGTTCAAGTCAGCCACGTGTAGAGCCACTGCGCCGACAGGACACGCCGCGGGGCACGGCTGTGGCAGAATGACACTGGAGAGACAGTCTTGCGGAATGGCCCAAGTGCATCAGAATTAGCCCGGCCGGCTCAGTCTAACGGCCCCCAAAGCTCGGAGTCGCCCGAGCGCGGGCTGGGTAGGGGCCTGGACAACCTCACCGTTGCAAAGCCTGCAGTGACCCTGCCAAGGAAGACGGCGTGACGTACTGACAAGCTCCAAACGGCAGGCTTTTTCTTTAGCTGACAGCAAGGTAAATGGAGTCTGTTTCTTCTGCTACCGGGACAGCAACCCTCCCACAGCTGCAAACGTGGTGGGACGGTGCGGCAGTCAGGGTGGGGCTGCTCGTGGGGCAGTGGGGCCCTGTGGAGCCCTGTCCGCCTGCTGAGGTCATGGCTACAGGGGCGACCTGAGCAGCCCCCACCTGGGCTGACGGGAGCCGCGGTGAGCCAGTGGGGGTGGGGGAGGCTGGCGGGGGTCTGGCTGCCAGGAAGGGAGCGTGGCGGGCCCATGTTTGTGCAGCAGAGAGCCAAGGGTTACTGGGGACGATGAGCCGGAGCAAGGCCCAAGCTCAAGAAGTGGGAGGGACCCACACTCGCCAGGGCCCCCCACTAGCCCCTGCGCCCCCGACGCACCTTCATGACAGGCTGGGCGAAGTAGCGCGCGCTCCAGTCGCAGAACCCCGTCTGCACCGAGGCGGAGATGAAGCTCTTGTGTCCGGCAGCATCGTCGCCGTCGTCGGTGGTCTGCGGGGAAGGGGCGGTTGGAAGGACACAGAAGCAACAGCAGCACGTCACCCGCGCACCTCTGCGGTCGGCACCGGCCCGGCTCCTGAGGGTGACCCTGTCTGTGCTCCTCTCACTCTGCGTCCCCGTGGCCTGGAGACCCTGATGTCTGCCCAGGGTGAGGGGCCCAGGCTGAGAAGCCAGAGCCACGGCTTCCCTGGGGAACCGTGTCCGCCTCACTGTCCCCAGGCTGCCAGCATGGCGCGGCCTGCAGGGCCACGTTCAGGCTCCGGAGCTGATGCCACCTGACCACGTTGACAGGGCCCACGTGGGTTTATCGATTCCCAAAAGCCTCTGCTGCCTGGTATGGCGACTGCTCACCAGTGGCCACACTGGTGCGGGGCTGACAGCAGGGGCCACCGAGGACTCAGACGGCCCGTGAGAAGTGGCCCTGGAGGGTGAGCACGGCCAGCGCAGGCCGGCGGCAGCTTCCAACCACTTCAAAGCTAAGACGCTGGAAGTGGCTTCGGACTAGGCTCCAGCTGTTTCTACTATAGGACTCATGGTCGCCATGGCTGTCGGTCAGCCAGGCTGTTCCTCACTCTGTGTGGCTGGCAGGAGAAGTCCCCTTATCACCCAGGGCAGATGCAGCAAGAGGAGCTCATCTCCCACCGGGAAGCAGCTGCCTTGGCTCCGAGGTGGGAGCTGTGGCCAAGCGGGGAGCTGCTGCCCGGGACCGTGGCCCCCAACTCCGCGCCTGGGCCCCCTGCCCCATGTCTGGGCCCAGCAGCGGGGCTGAAGCTATACTTGGAGCGGGCTGGCAGTTCCAGCTCCCAAGCCGTCGAGGCACTGAAGGTCAAGGTAGGCTCAGAGCTGGTGGCACCCGGGAGACCCTGCCCAACTCCTGCCACAACGGCCCTTCTGCCACCAGCACGATTCTTGCTCCAGAGTGACCCTGCAAGGCGACTGGTAACCTCTTTTTAAATCACTGGATTATAAAGTGAGCCACGGAATCCCCTCCGCTGCTGAGGGGCGCTCACTGCCGTCGGTGCCCGGGGCGGCCAGAGCGCCGGGCACGTCCTGAACTACCTTCTGCAGCCCCGCGTCCTCCCCTAAAAAAGCGGCAAACAGCCTGGACGGAACAGCGGAGGTCTCCAGACCAGCCACTGCCGCACGCGCTTCTCGTGACCCTGCAAACGAAAGCGCAGATTGCTCTCTTCTGAAATTTCGTTTTAACTTGGATAAAGGCGGAGAGAGCACACCTACTTGTGTAGCAGAATTGAATGTTTACGGGGGAAACAACTCATTCGGAGTAAACACCGTGGAACAGCTGCCGCACCACGTGGAAGCAAAACACTGTTTCCCCAAGAAGGGAAAAGCAAATTAACACCGTGTTATTTTGTTCCGTGAAGTCGTCAAGAGTGGCGAACCCAGGACGGGAGGCGGCAGGCACAGGACGCGGCCCCCGCGACGCGTGTAGAGAGGTGACCTGCACGCAGGGGTGAGGCAGCCAAGAGCCGCTGTCCGGTCTCCAAGGGCACAGAGGCCAAGGGGACGGATCTTTCCTCCCTCCCGAGGTGACGTCAGTGACCTAAATCCGCGGCCTCGCGCCTCCCCTGAGAAACAAAGCTACCAGCACCACCTCGTCAGACTCAGCGTTTACGGATCATGAAACGGTCAGTCTCTGTACCTGCTCTGGGCCCTTGTCGAACATCTTCCGCGTCCGGGGGAACTGGTGCGAGTGAGGGGTGTACTGTGCCCCCACGGGGCCCGCGGCGCCCGGCCGGCCCGAGGGCAGGTCCCGGCTGACCGGCTGCTTGGCCACGTCGTTGGTCAGGCTGGAGCTACTTGTGCTGGTCGCTGGGGGAGAGCCTCTGCCATTGGAGAGAACGAACGCTGTCGACCGAGAGTCACTTTGCCACAAGACACTAAGCAACTTCTAGTACTGCCCCACCCCCGCCCAGGGACGCCCACACGCCCGAGTCAGCGTGACTCCTGGGTCCCAGCTGCTGCCGCTGGGTTCCAGCTGTCTGCCTGGCAGGTTCCAGGAATTTTCTTTCCCGAACACTCCTGCCCTGAGAGGCAGGCTGGGGAAGGACAAGTGGCTCTCGGAGCCCAGCGTGCCAGAAGGAGTGTGGCCGCACCTGCTCTACCCGAGCTCAGGACACAGCTGCGCCGCTCCCCAAGGGTAGACGCTGCCTTGACACAGGGGACACCAGCCCGTTGGTTACCCATGTGGAGAATCTACATTCTCTCTTACAAAATTCCAAAAGGCCACAGAAATCAGGCTTGGTTCAACCTTTGCTGGCGTGATACGTGCAAATGCAGGGCTCCTCGGGGCAGGGAAGAGCTCTAGGAAGGGGCTCAGACTGGAGCGAGGAAGGGGTGTGTGCGGCGGGGGCAGAGAACATGCGTGCAGAGTGGGAGGAGGGGACCAGGTAACGGAGGGGAGGAAGGAGAGCAGGGTGCTGGCAGTGACGTGCGGAGCGGGTCAGCGGGACCCCCCGCCCCCGTGACAGACCTCAGCCAGTGGGACCCCTCCCATGACAGACCTCAGCCAGCGGGACCCCCTCATCACAATACACCTCAGCCAGCGGGACCCCCCCCCCCCGCCATGACAGGCCTTGGTGGAGGAGCGGGCTCGCAGGTGAGACGCCCGGGCCACTTACCCCACCTGGTGGATGTGCATGCCCTTGTTGGTCGGGCTGGCGGGGGCCGACTGCGTGAGAGAGGAGGTGTCCAGGATGCGCTGGGGCCGGGCATTCACTGTGGCCTACGGGGCAAAGGGACAGGAGGTCAGACGGGACGACCTCCTCTGAGGCTACGAGATAGAAGCACAAGGCTGGTGGCTGCATTCGAGTAGCTTCAAAATTGCAGAAAAGGCCTTTGGGCCAGGAACCCTCAAACACCAATGGACGACAGTCCCAGCTGAAATGTTTTCCCCAAATGTAGCCCTGAAGATAATGTGATGTTCTTTTACACTTCTAGAAACCTCTTGTCTGGGTCCAGCGAGGCCCTAGCTGGGGAGGGGTCTCTGCACGTGGCTCCAGAGGAGTCAGACCAGACTGGTCCTTCAGGAAGACTGACAGTGCCCGCCCCCTCCCTCTAGAAAGAGCAGCTTCCAGGGCCCGGTCCCCAGTGTGGCCCCCACCCTTTTTGCCTGAGTGGCCGAGCCCCCATGAGGTTTTGCTTTTAGTCCCATCTTCTCAAACGCTTCAGCTCTTAATCGACAGGCTGGGAGTTGGGGTGGCCGGCCCCCCCACAGAGGCCTCAGGAACCTGGCCGGGCCGTTGGTGAAGGTCAGGAGGCGAGTTATCAACCAGGGGGCTGACCACGCAGTCCTGAGGGTAGAAGGCCACCAGAACTAGTCCAAGGACTGTGACGCTGCAGTCACTTTTGCCCCTGTATTCTCAAAGAGGTTCCTTCTGCAGGGGAGGCGGATTGGCATCCTCCCCAGTGGCAGGACGGGTTTCCCCATCCCGGCTGCGCCAGGGGGCGGAGGACAGGTGACCACCCTCAGATGTCATCCTGGTGGGAGCTACCATCCTTCCCCACACGAGTGCACGGGGGGCACTAGGCACGCTGCCTGCACGGGAGACCTTGGTCCCCAGGGCAGGGACGGCTCCGCACCCAGCCCGGAGAGGGTGAGCTGGCGGGCGGGCTGGCGGGCGGGTGGCCGGGAGCCCTGTGTCCCCCACCGCAGTCGGTGCTGGAGGGGTCGGCCTCACCCCCGATGGAAGAGCCGCCAGCCCCGTTTGTGTTCTTCCTGTTTCAGGGCCAGGCTCAAAACAATCCCCTCACACACCGCGCCCCGTGGATGGAGACAAGATCGCAGGTTCTGTCAACATCCTTCCACAGACATTTGCAGGGCTAGAAATTTCACCGTAGAATAAGATGGGCACCAGCTTGAGGCTTTGTATTCAGGAGGGAAGTGGTTTTATTTTGATTTTTTAAATAGGATTTTGCGTAGATTTGGAAGCCGGGACGAGGGACATGTCTCTGTCTGCTGAGGGACGAGACACCAACAGCTTTGCTCCTGCCTGCTGCCAGCGGCGCCTCGCGCCTGCCCGGCTAGGTCCGGGGCGTGCTGCTCTGAGTGCCAGGGACAGATGGCTGGGGGTTCCGCTGGGCGAGAGGCCCGATGACCGTTACGGCGGCTGCGGGGCCCCCGGCCGGTCCAGGCGAGTCCGGGCTGTGTCCTAGAGGCTCGGCCCCACCTTGCGGGAGCTCAGGCGGAGGGGACCTTGCACTTGGCCGGCGCCTCGTAACCATTCACCCAGCAGCGAGGAGCCCTGCCCCTGTGGCTCGGCCGGCACACGGAAAGTTAAAGAAAACAATCAGCGTCTCCTGCATAATCTCCATTTTAAAATGAAAATAGCAAGAAAGCAGAACCACAATCAATCTTTAAACATTTTTATTTTTTAAATCACAAGAGTAATTCCTGCCTTATATAAACTTGTTCTGCTTTGGTATTTAAATTATCGGGCCAACTCTACACACCCCACCCCCAAAACCTGAGAGCCATATGATGCTTTGAAAAGTCTAAAAGGAGAAAAGAAATTTAAACTTAAGAAACGATAAACTTAATATGTGCCTCCTCGAAGCTTCTGGGAAAACCGTGGGAAGTGGCAGGAAGACAGAAACCCTTAGGGGCCGAAGGGAAGACGTGGGGAACCCACAGCGTGGGATGCTCCAGCCCCTGCTCGGGAGCCGGTGACTCAGGAGCCCGAGGCCGTCCTGCCCCCGCTGCCCTTCAGAGAGGAGTCCCTAGGTAGGAGCTGATCCAGCCTCGGCTCCATTTCGTGCAGCCTGTCAGGCAGACAGAACAGTCCCACCGTAGTGTAATTTACACCTACTCCTGTTGCCACAAAATTCTAATTTTGCATAACTTTCAGAAATCCTGCAAGGCAGGCACGCGGCAGGCTTAGGAGGTTTTCGTGATCAGCGTGAGTGATCGCAGGGCGTCAGGCTCAGACGAGGCTTCTTCAGCCAGCACTTCCTATTTGTGCAACAAACATTTACTCTGCATTGACAGTGTGCTGGGCCCGACGGCGAAACTGAGCAACGTGTCCCCCAGGGAGGGCCCCGGCAGACGCCTGTCCGGGTACCAGTGTGAGCACAGAGGATGCTCGCGGAGCTGGGGCTGTGGCAGGGGACGCTCCAGGGAGAGTCCCTTCCACAGGGTCCCCGACCCCATCTTACACAGAGAGCACCACCAGGAAAGGTTAACAGCAAAGCCGCAGCGCGCCCGCTGACGGCAGGGCTTGGGGAAACACACTCTGGAGGCCCCAGCACGGCGTGGGACCTCATCCTCCGTGTGGGTCCCGGCTGTCCTTGGGGCACGCGGTCCTCGTGGCTGTGCGGGCCCTGCCACCCTGGCCTCGCTCCCGGCCTGCACAGGACTCCCCGCAGGCAAGCCGCCCTCGAGGCAGGTCTGAGAGAAGTTCCCGGCCTGACGGCAGGCCCGAGCCCAGAGAGGAGCCTCCCTCCCCGACCCGAGCCGGCTTGCAGAGGCGGCAAACAAACTTTGTTAAGAATTCTCAGGTCAGACCCTCTCTTAGCCCCACGTAAACGTGAAGACCCCCTGCGAGGACGGACCCCCTGCGTGTCATTCATCCTGCCCCCCGTGGAGCTGGGGCTGGAATGAGGCACACGCTGCCTCCGGCTCCCGAGTGTTCGCTGCTCTCTCGGCCCCTCCACCAGGATACTGGACTCGCGCGGACATGGGAAGTCCCATCCGACGCAGAGAAAACCTCCACAGACACACTCCAGTGACTTGGACGGTGAACTTCCCGATCGTGTCTCGACGCAGCTGGGCTCCGGACACCAACGCACGCTTCGCCGCTCCGGCTGGAGAGCAAGTGGAGTGTTTCAGAAATGTTCCTGTTAATTTTATGTCGAGGAACTAGATTCATGTGTGAGACATTCCTAAAAAGGGATTCTTAAGGATTATCCAGAGGTCATTTTGGGCTACATATAACGCGGAGACCACTGGTTGTTTGATCGTCGAGAGGGGTATCTGTAAAAGCACATGCTTCTGTTTCCCTAATAAGTAATTTTTCTGCAAACCACATTTCCTAGATAAATGATACACACTTTTGGAAATGTAAGCCCTGGGCATTATCCAGTTAAAACGACAGCGGAGACTCCAATCAGCTGCCTATCAGTTATAAACCGAGCCTTGAGAGAGTCTCACTCTGGGGTGTCGGCGCCCTCGGCCCCGGCCCGTAGGAAGGTGATGCCGCATCCAGAGACCCGGGAGTCCCTTCCCGCTGGCTTCGTCCCTCCCAGGACCTGGCATGGACAGGCTTGGCAGTTCCTTCTGCAGCTACTCTGGCCCCGTTCCCACAGCGATGGTGAGGAAGATGACGATGACACCAGCGCTAGTACAAGCAGCTCATCTTACGGAGCTGTCTGTCCACAGGCCCAGGACGACGGGCTTCACGGGGTGACCGGGTGTAACCCTTACGACAACCTGCGGAGGTGGGGCCCACGACGATTCCAGTTCTGAGGACAAGGAGCGTAAGCTGAGAAGTGGGAAGTAACCGGCTGACAGCTAGCGGAGCCAGGCGGGGGCTCACAGCCGGGCTGGCGCTGTCCCTGCCTGCAGGTGCCACTACATCACCTCTGGGCCACGACCCGTGCCGGACGCTCACAAGGGCAGCGTCTCCGTGACAGCAGGCTCCCGGCTGCCACCCGAGAGCTCCCCAAGACATCTGGGTCTGGACTGACGCCGCAGGGGATGTTCTGTGCCAGGCTGGTGGGGCCGGTGGGCCAGTGTTGGACGGTGACTCTCAAACAGGGTCGGTGTACAGCTCTGCAAGCCTTGCTAGTCAAGGGGGTTTGCAGTGAGGCGCACGAGCATGTGCCCAAAAATGACGCGCCTTTGTGTTGCTCACATCCATCAGCATGGCCGGAGTCCCACGTTCCAGGGACTGCTGTTCCCACAGTTCCCAGTGTCCCTTGTCTGGGCCGAGGTGCAGGAACTGAGGTGACAGGTGAGGTGAACTCTCACTGAGGACGCAGAGCGCACGCAAAACCTTTCGGGGTTGAGGTGTGGCTCACGCTTCCCGGGGAAGGGGCCCTGAGCTGGGGGAGAGCCAGCAGGTGTCAAAGAGCACGCGGAGACCACACGGCAGTTCCAGGGGAGGGGCGAGGGTGACGACAGAGCCCCTCTGACTCAGGCACGCCAATGCCATCTGACCAGACGAAGGCGAAGTGAGCATGTTTATATGACATCCCCGAGACTGCTGCGAGAGAAATCTAAAAGCTACCTGGGAAGAGAATTTCTGCAACTTCAGATGCTGGCCCTGCTTTGGCCTGCAGGCTAGCCGTGAACTGGGCTCCGGGCAATTAAGAATTCCCGTGACTCGGCCAGCCGGAGGGGGCACAGGCTGGGGATAGGGATGCCAGAACCGGTCCTCGGGATTCTGACAGGCACTGTCAAGCAGGAGGAGAAAATTCCAGCGTGACAACAGGATTGTAAGAGTATATGGGCAGGTAACCCACGCGGTGCAAGTGTGAAGCAAGGCGTTAATCAATCACAGGGTTAATTGTACTTTTGAATGTGCTTTTCTGGGTATCTCAGTCTTGGTTTTCTTTATTACTCACTTAGGCCTTCGTTTCATGAGTAAACTTGTTAAGCTTTAATTAAGCATGTTGATTTCTAATTCCCAATGTGTCTGGTTTGCACAGTCACATAGCAGGCGTGGCAGCCGGCGTTCTGGTTCCTTATAGTACCAAGAGGCTACGGCACTACTGTTAGGTGAGTTTATGTGTTTATGTTCATAAATTTCTGCATAAACATAAAAAGAGAAGTGATGGTGAACACGCGTGGCCTTGGCGCCTGAACACCTATAGCGTGAAGTTCCTTTCTCAGTGTCATCCTAAAGCCCGACAGCAGGAGTGGCCAAAGCAAGGGCTGCTGGGGCCAAAGACAGGGTCCTGAGGGACGTTACTGTCCGCTTTCTACGTCTACATAGTTTAACATCTTCCATAATAAAAAATAAAAGCAAAAGGCTGGGTGTTGTGGAGGCTCACGCCTGTAATTCTAGCACTCAGGGAGGCTGAGGCGGGAGGATCGTTTGAGCTCAGGAATTTGAGACCGGCCTGAGCAAGAGCGAGACCCCATCTCCACCAAAAATAGAAAAAATTAGCCGGGCATGGTGGCGGTGCCTATAATCCCAGCCACTTGGGAGGCTGAGGCAGGAGGATCACTTGAGCCCAGGAGATTGAGGTTGCTGTGAGCTAGGCTGACACCACGGCACTCTAGTTGGGGCAACAGAGTGAGACTCTTTCAAAAAAATAAAAAAGATAGAAAAATTAAAAGCAAAACAAAAAAACCCCAAGCTCTTGAGCTGTGTGGGTTCTTTCATACAGAGGTGGTGGCAATTTCTATATTTGAATACAGAATTCTATTGGGTATTCCATAGTAATAAGGCTGTTTTTGACTCTGATGAACAAAAACTTGGCTTCAGAGTTAAATATCTAAAATAGGCTCATTTCTATGTAAAAAGAAATGTAATCCCCTCAGTTCCTAGAGCAGAAAAATAAGGCATTTCCAGAAATTAAAATGAGGACAAGAAAGGGTTTTCTTAATGTTTATGCTTCCAGATCCTTCAGTAGCAATGTCTGCACTTAAAAACAAACACACGCAGAGACACTCAGGCACACGCACAGAAACGTACACACGGACACAGAGAAACATACACAGACACATATAAACACTTATAGACACACATAAATGCACTCACAGACACAAACACAGACACACAAACACACTTATAGACACACATAAATACACTCACAGACACACACACATACACGGATACACACATACAGACACAGACACACAAACACACTTATAGACACACATAAATACACTCACAGACACACACACATACACGGATACACACATACAAACACACTTATAGACACAAATAAATACACTCACAGACATACACACAAACACACACACTCATAGACACACATAAATACACTCACAGACACACACATACACGGATACACACATACAGACACAGACACACAAACACACTTACAGACACACGTATATACACTGACACAGACATACACATAGAAACACATACACATATAAACAGACATTCACACACTCACACACACATACACACACCTGCACACACACACACATTTACACTGGGGCAGACGCACACGCACCGACTGTGCCATGGCAAGGTTTCTGGGGGAGGCCCTCTCTGGTCTCCATCCCTCTGGCTGTGGCCTGTCTGCGGCGGGACGCCGTGTGCACCCTGGGGCGTGAGTCCCCCGAGACCGGCGCAGCCCGCGCCGACGGCAGACGCCGCCGCGATGAGGCGTCTGGGCCTCAGCAGACAGCTGTGTTCTAGAGGCACGACGGGTATTTTCAGGCCGCTGTGATTCGCTAGCATGAAAGATCACATCTAAGACGCCTAATCCCCTCACGGTGGGGCGGGTGCCTTTCCGGCTCCCAGCGACACAGTGCACACGCCGTCTGCACGGGCCGGGGCTGCGGAGGCCGTGGTGGCATCGCAGAGCGCAGCGTCCCCGTGTCACGTGCTAGCGAGGCTCCTAGGGAGAACTATTTAACGACCTGAGGTCGGGTCTATAGCCATGAGCTCGCAGGCATGAAGTTTCAAGATTAGGCGCTGGGCTCACATTTTAAATAATTCAAGTTGATTTTTCAGTAAGATTGAATACATAAAAGCCACAGAAAAAACTTAAACACCGATTTCACCATAACCAAAATATCCAAAAAGCTGAATCAATTGGGGAAAAATGGTCAAATCACCTAAACAGTGCTGGCCTCCAGCGGTGCCGCCCGCAGTGCCAGGGTGGCCCGAGGCCCACAGGCTGTCCTGGGCCTCAGAGTAAAGAAGAGGACACCAGACACCTGTGTGGCGGAGACCTGTGGGCAAAGACGGTGACCTGGCCCGGGCTGCCTTCATCGAACATCGATTCTAGAAGCTTAAACCACCCACTCATGTTGCCTGAGCCCAGGAGTTTGAGGCTGCGGTGAGCTAGGCTGACAGCACTGCACTCTGCCTGGGCAACACAGTGAGACCCTGTCTCTAAAAACAAACAAAAAAAGGTGATCATGAAAAATGATGACGATCCTCACGTAATTCCCTTGCCACGGGTTAGCAAATCCAGTAAAGCGTTTCCCAGTTGAAGCTGCATATAACCATAGTTCAGGGTGTACCGCAAACCTCCACATTCAAAATGTCTGTTGAAAGTTCATTTTATTTGTGTGTTTTCTAAACCATGGTGTAGATCTGACTGTGCCTGGAGTTCCTGCCGGAATAGTCGCGTCTGAAAATCAGACGCGTGCGAGCATCGGTGACAACGTCCCACCACACCTACCTTGTAGGCAATGCTGTTGAGAACCTTCATGGCCAGGTCGGACACGTCCGGATAGGGGTCAGCCGCCAGGTGCAGTAAGACCCTCCAGATTTGAGTGTAAACGCTATTAAAAGAAACACCTAGAAAAGAGAAACGGGAGATGGTTTAGGAGCTGACAGCTGCCACTGCATACTTAGGTGGCTTCCGAGGTGGTGCCCTTTTCCGAAAGCCTGACCGTGGCACCAGGAGGTGCTGCGCAGAGAACTCGGTCACGGACGCTCCCGTTTCGCTGTTCCGGTAACGGCCGGGAGACCACGGAATCCCAGCCCAACCACACCGACTCCATCTTTCAAGGCTGAATCTCTGTAGGACAACAGGTTGGGAAGGGCCAACTTCCGTCTCAAACGCCTCAGCGGGCTGCAGAGGACGACCGCGCCCAGGGTAGCATCAGAGCCGCGTCCTGGGTTTCCCAGGCCGCTGAGGCCAAGGCCGAGGGGCGGCAGCCGCTGCCCGCCCCAGCTCTGCACCAGAGTCGCCTCGGGCACCGCGACCCCTGCGCTCCTCTCGCCCACTTCTGCGTGCGGCCGCTCTGAGTTCCTGGGGATTCAGGAAAGGTGTGTGTGATGTGACCTTTGTCCCAAAGCATCTCCCAGCTCGCCCAGCGGACGCTGACTGGGTGCGCACTTGATGCTAGGTCTCGTGCTGCACGCGGGGACGCAGAGACGGCAAGACAGAGCGGGCACGCAGACACGCCGTATGTGACAATGGCAAGTTGTGGCCAGCAGAGAAAGCCAGGGGACCGTGTGGAAGCCTCCGTCCGTGCGGCTGCTCCACCCCACTTCGTTCCCCGCGATCCTGACGCGGGCCCTGGCATCACAGAGCGGGCGAGGCCCCGTGAGCACTTCTGCCAGGGCCCAAAGACCAAGCACGTGAGCCCACACCTGCGTGACCCTCGAGCCGTGCCGCTCCCACAACACGGGGGACACAGTCAGGAGCATGAGTGGTCCTTCTGCCAGGAGTGGCCGGCAGGTGACGGCTTGGAAGGCCTGATGGGAGGGGTATGAAGGAGGTGGCTTTGGAGGGGACACAGGATCCTTCTCCAGCAAAGGCGGGGTGGAGCGACCGTTGGCAGCAGACAGGAACTAGGACACGGAGGTGACAGGGACACAGGAGTCTTTGGGAACCCCTAACTGAAACCATAAAAGCAAATGAGCCATAACGAGGGGTGCTGAGCCCTCAGAAACCAAAAGGGAGGGCCGGGCCCCAGGGCTGAGAAGCTCCCGGCCAGCCAGCGTGGGCTGGAGCAAGGGCGGCGGCCAGGGGCCGTGGGTCCTGGCAGAGGCAGCGGTTTGAGCCAAGTGGTGGGCGCTAGAGCGCCAGCCGCTGCGGGCTGTGCCTCGGGCTGGGGGAAAGCAGAGAGGGTCCTGCTCCCGGGGCTGGGAGGCGGACAGGGAGACAGCCACATGCGGCTCCCTCTTTTTTATTTTGGGGGAAGCTAGACCATTTGTTTGCTGAAAAACAAGTGGTTGTTCAACAACAAAAAGAGATTAGAAGAGGATTTCCAATAAGCCACGATTCCCTGTCACTTCCTCAGCGGCTCCTGGTAATGCCCCGTGTCTGAGAAGGAGTTTAAACGCCGGAAGACCCGTCACAGGACGCAGGGTTTGCCGTGAGCACGGTTGTTCAAGCGGGTTTCGTGACACACGGCCGAGCCCAAGGGGAAGAGGCTGGGAAGACTCGGTGTGAAAGTCGGTCTCGCGCACGAGTTCCACGCGGGCGCGCGTGGTGCTGGCTCGCCTCACCCCACGAGTCTGAGAAGGTGGGCGCCGGCAACCCCTGCTGGTATCAGGCCGGTGTGTTCCTGCCCGACTGGGGGCTGCCCCACTGCGCGCACCCACCACCGTGACGCAGCGCCCTCTGGAGGGGACCGCCGTGAGGAGTGTGGGTTCCAAGGAGGGCTGGCGGTGGCAGCACTGCGCAGGGTGTGCGACCGCGTGGCATTCACAGCTTGGTCACCACCGACAAGACGGGCGTACCTGCTGCCCGCGTCGGAGCTAATCACCAAGAGGCTGGGGCCAAGGGGACGGTATTTCTCTGAGGGCCGGCGTACCCCTCCCCCCCCCGCGCTGTGGGGGGCTTCGCGTCCTGCACCCAGAGGAGACGCCTTCCCAGAGCAACGCCCCCTTCGCGTCGGGGCCTGCGCACACGGCGAGCAGCCCCTGCTCTCGAGAGTCTCCCGCCCAGGAGTCAGGAAGGGCACATTTGGGAAGACAGGCTTGACGCGCGTCAGATGACACGTCACGCAGACGCACTCTGGCTGGGGGAGGACCCCGGCGGTGTGCACAAAGCACAGGAAAACGGTCAGCCCGTCGTCCTCCCGCGGTCCTGCGCTGCCCGAATCCAGAAGCACACAAACCCCTTTCAACTCTCAAATTCCACAGCACTAAGGCAGCTGAGGAATCTGATTGGTACAATTTCCTAAGATCTGCCTTTCTGCCCTGGTAGGCAATGTTGGTGGGAACTGCACGTGGCGCTGAGGCCCGCCCAGCGGCGCTGCGTCTTCGTTTCTTTAGAGAGGAGGGCTGGGAGGAGATCTTGTTCCGAGTTCGCTCGTGGCAGGCCCCTGATTTATGACGCGAGAGGAAGAAGGGGCCCCACGAGGCGGGCGGAACGGCCCTGCTCACGGCCTGCAGGGAGTCTCACGAAGATGACTCAAACCCACCGCAGCTCCTGCTCAAAATCCCCACCCGCTATTGTTCCTGGGCTCACAGCTTCCTCTGGCTCAGTGACGCGTCGGAAGCAGCTTCCCGAGCAGCTTGGCTGCCGTGTGACGCTGAGCTGTGAAGGGACAGTGATGCAGACGGTGAATACGGCTGGATTCGGATGACGAACCCTCCGTGTAAACAAGGGGGTGCTGAGAAGAGCCAGCTTGCTGGGGGCAAGGAGCAAGCCCGTTAGCAACGAGGCCTCCGCCCCACGCTCGCCGTCACTCTGGCAACCCGACTGCAGGCGCCCAGCCAGATCTTAACCCAATGTACCTTCCGCTCGAACGTGAGGAAGGGGCACAGGCTCCTCCGTTCCTGAGCTGTGTGGCCTGAGGCTTCATTCACAAGGTCCGGATGACGGATGCTGACACCTGCGGGGTCGAGATCAGGTCTTGGTAGAACACTCCCAGTAAAGGGCTTGGCATGGAGGAGGCATGATATGAATTAGCTATTTTTATTGTTTAATTAAAAAAAAAATTTTTTTTTTTTTATAGAGATAGGGTCTTGCTATGTTGCCCAGGCTGGTCTTGAACTCTTGGACTCAACTGATCCTCCTGCCTTGGCCTCCCGAGGAGCTAGGATTACAGGCATGAGCCACTGTGCCCGGCCCCGCCCTATTTTTAAAACTTTATTTTTATTATAGTTGGTCCCCTGTATCAGTGGGTTCTGCATCTGTGGATTCAACCAACCACGGATCAAAAATATTTGAAAACAACAGAGCAAAGAATAATACAAATAAAAGGCAATACAGTGCAACAACCACGACCCAGCATTTACACTGTACAGGTGTCGTGAGTAACCTACAGATAGATGATCACGGTACACGGGAAGATGCGCGTAGGTCGCATGCGAATGCTGCGCCATTTCCTATCTGGGTCCTCAACATCAAGGACTTGGTGTCCTGGAACCAGCCCACGCGCTCAGCGTGGGACCTTGGCACTGCCGCCGACTGTCCTGCCGATTTTGACCTCTGTGAGACGGTCCGTGAAACAGGGAAGAACATCTGACTTTGCGTCTCCGTAACTACGACGGATGGTTAACTATTGTGTCTACTAGTAAAAAAGCCGCAATGCAGGAATTGTCTTTATTCCACTTCTTTCCTTGGTTTGGCCACGACAGCCTCTCAGCCTCCCTGTCACATGAACTGTCCTGTTTTTAAATCGGCCGTTTCCAACGCAGAACGCAGCCGCCCTCACACGTGGGCCCAGCCCACCAGGGCCAGGGCGGGGGCCCGAGTCCTGCCCTGCGAGGGGAACGGCAGCCGGAAGGCTCCGAACTGTCAGATGCTCCGCAAGGCTTCTGTGTTGCCCTTCGCTGAACTCCCGTAAGTGCTGCGAGCCTGTTTTCATGTCTAGACTAAAAGCAATAAAAGGCCATAACAAACGGCTTCAGAATTTATTTTTCAGAGCAACGGCCACCACTTTCTAAATAGGCTGTGATGCAGGGAAATTTACTGGGAGCTTTGCAGCAACTGTGAGTCCTGGAAGTCCCCGGGCTGGCAGAGGGGTTCCGGAGGGGGGTGGTCTCCCGCAGGTGAGAGCCGCCAGCCTGTCACCTGGTCTTGGGGGGCTGGCACAGCAGGGTCACATCCTCTGAAGCTCCCCTTGAGGGACGTGGGTGGCCGAGGGCTTCTGCCCAGCTGCAGGAATCCGTGCCCACAGCCCAGGGCTCTCAGTGTCCCCTTCCCGCGACCTGCCTTCCTGTCCCCGGGTGCCCGAGGGACTCCCGTCTCCCCAGGGGCTGCACCCGCGACTCACAGTGGCCTTTAAGAGAATCGCACTGCCAGTCGCTCTGCCCTTCCTCCCTTCCTGGCCAGCGGAACCGAGGACCTCATAGCCGCTCACACCTCCCGGGCGAGGGTGGCTGCGCCAGCGTCTGTTCAGCATGCTCCGCCATTTCCCTACAAGGCATGCTTAATGATGGCCTTTAATCAAGGACTTTTGCTCTAAAAACATAATTAATCTTGTGACATCAGAAAACAACGCTGTTCATTTTCTCACTCCTCTTTTCCGACAAGAAGAAAACTAATGGGTCGTAAAACCCTCTTTCGGGACTCGTGCAGTTCCTTTGGCAGCAACCCTGCTTAGCATTCTTCTTGTGGATCGAATGCCAGCTTTTCTTCAGTGAAGGCAAAAACCAGCACCTCCTCTACCCTGAAACCCGGACTCGCTGCCGTGGGGTCCGGACCCGAGCGCAGGGCTCGCAGAGGACGCTCCTTTTAGGACTTCCCGGTGCCTGGGAAGAAAGGAAACTGCAGTCCCAGCTATTTGGGAGGCTGAGGTGGGAGGATCACTCGAGCCTAGGAATTTGAATCCAGCCTGGGCAACTTAGTGAGATCCCATCTCTAAGAAAAAAATAAAAACAAAAATAGGAAAGAACGGAGAGAGGCTGCTGTGGCCTGTCGCATCAGCGCTGAGGGGCAGCATGGCAGCCATCATGCGCACGGCTCCGAGAGGCCTGGGCGGGGCTGGGGGCCGCTGCTCTGTGGGTCTCCCGGCACCTGGGAGGTGCCCACGTTTCCAGACTCGGGTCTCTCCACCCCTCTCTTTTCCAAGGGGAGTGGTTCTGACTCCCAGGTTTGGATGAGGTGGAGGGGTGAGCACTCGAACCCCAGGCTCAGGTGCCGAGAGCAGGGTTGGGGCAGGGCTTCCGGCCGCTGAGGGATTCCTGGCTCCGCCGCTGGCCTGGGCCCTCGGCTCAGCTCTTCCTCAGGGAACAGGAATGACGACAGTGCTCCCCGCGGGGTCTCAAGGGCCTGGCAACGGGAAGGACTGATCTGGGGATCCTTGTGTGTCAGGCCAGACAGCGAGTGACAGACGGGTGGGGCGGAAACACCAAAGATGAGTCCAGAGCTGGGGCAGAACAGAGATCCCGGTTCCAGCTGAGGTTTGCACATCTATCCCATCCCCACTGCGTGCAGCACCTGTGGGCATGCGGGCTCCGCAGTGATGGGAGGAAGCCGGGGTCCTGCCCAGGGGCTTCCTCCAGTGTGGGTGTCTGTGACCGAGGACACGGACGGTGGGCGGAGCACAGAGAGGCGGAGGGGACCTGGCGGGGCTCCTGGAGGGCTGGTTCTGCTGTTGCAGGTGGGAGTGACGACATTCTAGGTGCTACGGTTTTGAAAACTTTCTCAATATCCAAGGAAGAGGTGAAAAGATCGCTGTTCTTCGGTTGAAATGGAAGAAGAAACTGGCTTGAAGCAGGCGAGCGCTTCGCGTAGTGGGAGCCTGCGTAGGAGATGGAGTTTCAACGCTTGCGCATGCGCTGAGTTCCCAGGTGGTGAGAGCAACATCTCTGGGTGTGATGAGGCCGCCTTGGAGGGCAGCTGCTGTGCTTCTTAACTTTCCTTCCCGAACTCCAGCTCATTTCGAAACTTCTCCCCCCAAAGTTCCCGAAAAAATTGAAAGAAAAAAAAAAAAAAACCAAGTGCCCCCAACAAAAAAAAAACGTTCAGGAATCAGACTGTGAAAGGAGGAGGGTGTCGGCAACGTGGGGCTCAGCTTCCTGAGAAAGGAAGGAAAGAGATGGCAGAGACGGAAAAACCCACGGAGACGAGCCCGTGTCCTCCGTGTGGCGGGGAGGAGCGCTCGGCGTGGTGCGGCTCCAGCGAAACAGCGTTCTCCATCCTCACACAGCCAGAAACAGTCTTGAGGATAAACGTGGTATTCACCCGTAAGCGATGGCAGCCACGTGCTAGACCGGAGTTGGGGCTGGGCCCCCTGCCGGCCAAGGCCCCCTGCACTCTGGGCCCCCAGCTGGAGGGCGATACCCAGGGCCTTGGCGGGGCCTGCGCACGTGCGACCAGCCTCGCCACGTTAAACCACCTGGAAGCACCACAGCCTCAACCTTCTGCAACCCGCACCGGCGACAGGGGCTCCCACTCGGTATCTGAAACGCCCAGAGAGAGAGAACTGCACCAGGTGTGGGGGCTCGATGGGAGCTCTCGATGGCCCGAGGGGACAGACGGCTGTCATACTTCTCGGCTTGGGTTCTGTTTTATAAATGAGAGGCACGGTGCTCCTACGTGCTCGCAGGTGCAGTTCAACTTTGCCCTCTCAATTCTTCTCCGGACCCTGCGTGCTGTTCAGAGGGCCGTCCAGGGAGCAGGCGGCCAGACCGAGTTACAGGCCGCGAAGAGGCACCGTGAGTCTGCAGGGCTCAGGTAGGGAAACGCGTGACGGTCTGGAGGGGATGGGGCTGCAGAGGGCTCTAGGGCTCGAACCCGACTTGCAATTCCTCCAGGTGGGAACACAGGAAACAGCTGTTTCTCACGGGAGTCTCTGTTAACTTTTGCACGTCTGAAACGCTTCTCGTGTCTGTTTTGGAGACAGAGTCTGGCTCTGTCTGCCGGGCTGCAGTGCAGTGGGGTCGCCATGGCTCACAGCAGCCTCACACTCCTCGGCTCCAGCTTCAGCCTCCCAGGTAGCTGCGACCACAGGTGCTGCCACACCACCTGGCTAAGTTTTCTATTTTTGGTAGAGACGGGGTCTCACTCTTGCTCAGGCTGGTCTCGAACTCCTGGCCTCAAGCAATCCTCCTGCCTTGGCCTCCCAGAGTGCTGCAATTATAGGCGTGAGCCACTGCCCTGGCCTAAAATGCTTCTCAGTGTTAACACATTAACTGCCATGTGAGTTGTATTTAACTCACACTAGTTTTGAGCCCAGGGCCTCGTGAAGCATATGTAACTCACACATGTCTTCACCTTGACAGCTGAGAGAACTATTTTTCAAGTTGCATATAACTCATGCACAAAAAACAGTAAAAAATAACAAATTTTTCATTAAATTGGAAAGGATCATTTTGTTTTCGAAGTTTTTATTCTATTTTTGTAATAAAGTACTGTGGCCCCAAGGAAAAAAATGTTTTCTCTAGTGTGGCAGTCAATGTGTTAAAAGAAACATTCACGTGAAGCCTGGGAACCACCCGGGGCGGCCAGAACAAGAGAAGAGGAGGCTTACGCGGTTACGTCCTAAGTACGTCACCAGCAGGTTCGAGACGAACGCAGCTACCCAGTAAGAAAATGCCGTGAGTCCCCGTCTCCTGTTGTACATCAGCGATGTGACCCTTAACTCAGATTTCAATTTCCAGGCAGCGAAGTGTCAAATTGCTGGAGGGCAGATGTGAAAGTTCAGAAGAGATTCTGCAGGTGAGCACGGCTTCGGGAGGGCGCGACACCCTTCCCGCCTCCCCCGCAGGGCCCCCAGCCTCACAGCGACACCTCCATGGGGCCGTCCTGGGTGCCGGAGGATGCTGCGCCGCAACCCTGGCCATGCCCACGACGTGCCAGGAGCACCCCACTGCACCCCAGTTGTGACAACCGAAATGTCTCCGGGGAGGCAAAATCACCGCCACTGGGGAACAGCCCTTCTACGTTACCAGGAGTTCGACACATGTGAAGGACTCTTATCTGTTTATCAGAAAAAGATGGAAGGCTCTGGCAGCCTTCCTACATGACCACGCTGACTAGCTCAGATCCCCTGGAATGGCCTGGAAAATATTACGTCAAAGTAAAACTGCTTTAAACTCTCCTGCTTCCCAGAGCAGGGCCTCGATGGCTTCGACGCCCACCTGCCGAGCGCAGAGGGCTCCCACCGCTCCACCCGCGCCCAGCGCAGAGCGGCGCGCAGCCACTCACCTATGAGCGAGTTGAGGGAGGAGTAGGAGCTGACGCGGCGCATCTTGTCGATGGTCTCGAAGGAGAGGATGTACTCCTCGTTCTCGGGGCTGCCCAGGGTGCTGCTGGCGCTGCTGCTGGTGCTGAGGTTCCCGGGGGAGAACGCCACCGCACCGCCGGCTGCCGAGACACGGGGAGCAAGGTCAGCGCGGCGCCCCCAGGGCCCTCCTCTGGTCTTACAATGAGGGGCTTGGCTGAAATGTGCATTTTCCTCTAAAGCTAAAGCCCGCCACACGCACAGACACACGCGATGCGATGTGTGTGTGCTCATGCACATGTGCCCACACACACATGCACACAGACCCTCGCTGATCTCCCCGCAGGACGACGGGCACGGGGAGGGCAGCGCAGGGGACAGAGCTCAGAGCGGCTGCTGTCCAGCTGCGTCTGTGAAGTGCCACTGGCAACGCTGGGTGTGACCTGTCACCCCCTGCTGCACCATTCCGGACGCACAGCCGCCCAATACCGCGACGGCAGGCGGAGAAGGGGCTGAGACAGAGCGGCAGGCGTCAAGATAAAAAGACTCAGAAAATAAACCCAAATGCCAGTTTCCAGTATCTTACATTCTTCTGTCAAACTCAGGTTCTGCAAAGACTTGTTCAGGTTCCTGGCGGTGGTGACGGCTCGAATGTTCCCGTAGGAACTCACGGAACGCAGCCTGGGGGTGCAGGGACTGTCCCGCACCGGGGTCAGACTCCCAGCCTCTGGGAAGGAAGGAGAGAGACAAGTGTCACCGGCAGGCGTCCAGAGGGAAGGCTGGAGTCTCTGGACAGTCTGCGGCCACGGCGGCAGGTGACGCAGCTGCTACCTGGACAACGACGAGTGTGCAAGGAGGGGCCTCAGGGCTCAGCGGGGCAGAGCTGAACAACCACCATTCGTTGTTCTGTGGGTGGTAAAGAAGACCTGGAACAGGGTGGCACCTGTGACCTCTCTGAGTACACACAGGCTGTGGCCACTGCCCTGGAGGCCAGGGCAGAGCCAAGCGACCACACGCCCCGGCACGGGCCAGACCACTGTCCGATGGCTGCCCCCCGCCACCCGCTGCTTTCAGTGGGCAAATTCACCAGTTCACTGTCCATCTCCCTTGCCAGACGTGCTGGCAGCAGCCACGCTCCGTCACGGACCACGAGCCTGTCCACTGCCGGGGCGTGTCTGAGGGAGAGACAGCCATGGCGACATGCAGGGGCTGCGTCCTCCGGCACGAAGCACAGGCGTGAGAGAAGGGGCTTCCTGACTGACCCGCCGACAGCAGGGAGGCCACTCTGCCCGTCACAGGACGGTGGCTAAGTTCTCTCCTGCAAGCCCCACTGCACAAGTTTTCCACCCTTCAAGATCGCCACGAGTGTGATTTCCCAAAAAGGGTAAAAGGAAAGGAAGCGAGTCGGAGGGGCAGTCTGGCCTCTTTCCTGCCCCAAGGACCGCAGTGGGAGGGGCCACTCGGGGCAGGTGTCCCAGGAGCCTGGGCTTGGCCTCGGCCACGGGGTGGCCCACCATCCTGACCAGGGGCTGTGGCTGCCACGACAACCGGCCCAGGCAGGCCATCAGCAGGCTTGCAGCGGGCGGCGCCGTACCTGTGGCGGCTGGCGAAGGCAGCGGGTAGTTCTTTTCCTCCTCCATGAACTGCAAGGCCACGGTGCAGAAATTGCTCTCATACTGAACTACGAGATGACTCAGGGCCACCACCAGCTCCTGCCAGAGGGAGAAGGACAGCGATACTTGGTGAGGCTGGAACACCATCGAAGGGCCGCAGCGAGACCTGTAAGCCCCCGCCGAGGGCTGGAGTCACCAGTGGAGATGGGAGGTGGGTGTGAGACTCTGAGGTCAGCAGTAGGAACAGGGCCGTCCCTTTCGGCCAGTGAGAGCAGGGCCTCGGAACAAGCCAAGTGCTGTCGGGACGGCAGGACCACCCGCTCACCAGTGGCTCCAGGGATGCCCTGGAGCACCCGTTGGGACCCGCCACCGACTGCTGGATGGGAACGGCCCAGCTCGGGGCTTTACAAGGACACGCCTGACCACACAGCTCCAGAGTGGGACACGCAGGACACGTCACAGCCTGAGGCTATGATTAACGCTGGGACCCGGGGCCAAAACGCCTCTGCCATTAGACCTCAGAGCTCGGCAAGCCACGCCGGGCCCTGCGCACGGCAGCAGAACGCGGCTGACGAGCTGAAGCTCTTCCGTCCAACGTGGAACTTTCAGAGACGCGTTAGTTCCCAGTCCCTTTCAGGGACTGGGGAAAAGCTCTAGAACTAAAACATCATCTTTAGGCCCAAACGCCTGAGTCCAAGGAAATGGATACGCGACTTCTCTCTCAGGACAGTTCAGTGCTGAGCGTGAGCAGTGGACGCTGACAGTCAAGGGAGACGACAGTAGACGTAGGTTTGCGACGGCGGAAGAAACACTGCTCACGCAGGCCCCACGCCGCCGCCTGCTCTTACAGAAAGAGCCCCGGTAGGCGGCCACGGCCTGGGGAGAGCCTGGTGCTTGCCACGTGAGCCCCGCCCCATGGCCGGAGCCCCTGCTGAGGGCAGTGGCGGCCCAGTGCCCAGGTGAGCCCGGGTGAGGCCAGGTGCTGCCAGGGCCTCTTCATGGCCGCCCCTCCCCTCTCCCCGGCACTCTCTCCCACCCGGACCTCACCTGCTCCCGGCTTCCTCCCATCGCATTCTGGGACCTTCCCTCCCATGTCTCTTCAGGGTCCAGGCTGGCTCTGCCTTTCTGCCCAAGCGCCCACCTGAACCCCAACCTCTGCCGTAAACCGCTGGCGCCGTCGGCTTTCCCGCCACTTCCTGATAGGGCCTCTCGACATGTGCCCAGGGGGCTTCCTGCTCCGGTCAGAGCCCTGGCTTTATCCCCCGCCCTGCTGTCCCGAGGGTGACTGCCCGGGGTAGGGTCCCACGATTCTCTCTGTGGCCACTGCCCAAGTTGCTGTCCCTGGGCAACCCCCCACGGCCACCCTGCTCTACCCCTGCGAGGGGCGTAAACGCTGCCGGGCTGGGTCCTCTCACGAAGGAAACCCCCACCGGGCCCTGGCGGGGAAGGTGACGTCTGCACCTGCTTTTGCAAAACACTGACTCTCCCCCTTCGCTCCAACGCAAAGCGGGGAAAGCGAGTGCCCAGCTCTGCGGCAGTGCGATTCCTGCCGAGGTCCTGGGCCCTCTGAGTGAGTGAAGGCCACCAGGGCGGTCCGTCATTCAAGGGACATGTCGAGCGCTCACACCCAAGCGCATTTCGCGCTCGCCCCGTGGCTGCTGGGCACACGGCCCAGGCTCTCGCAGGCGTCTGGCGACCCTTCCTGAACCGAGTGTGGCCTGATGGCTGACTAGGACTGCGCCGACACCACTGCGGCCCCTGGTCACGCCACAAGCAACAGTAGCAGACAGCCTCATGGCGTCCCCAAATTAAAATGCTATGGTCACCAATCTTCCCTGCTCCTGATAGGAAGGACGCATGTGGTCTGTGTCATGGAACACAGGCTGCTGTATGAACAAACAGCGGTAACATCCGTGTTCTTCCGGACTTGCCCCGCTGGAGGCACCGGCGGCTGCCCGCAGACGGGGTCTCTAGGCCACGCCGTGTCCTCGGCCCCAAAGCTGGCTCACAGCAGGGCCCCCATCAAAGAATAGGCAGCAGGAAGAGGCAGTCGGCTCGGGGAGGGCTCAACACCCACAGGGTCTCCGGGACCAGCGGGCCCCCGCACCTGCTCCCTTCAGCGGCGCGTGCACACGTGGTCCTCGGCACAGAGGGGACGGGCGAGTGCAGACTGCAGCGGGCCCCTCGGCGAGAACACAGACTCCGGTGCAGCCTCCTCCTCGGGCCCCCGACCGCCCGGCAACGGCTGTGTTCCTCCTCCGGCTCACACCACCCGTCTCTCCAACCGCAGCCTACAGCCGGCTAGAGTGCAAACGTCCCCAGGGCAAGGCTGCCTCCCGAGTGCTGGACACGGTGCCCGACACACGGCAGACGCACAGGAGCACGAGCAGACGGAATGGATCGGTTAGAACAGACTTGCAAGACCTGAGACGCCTTTACAGAAGACTCGTCTCGCGGGGCCGGACACTCAGCCCTGGCCTCCAGCCTCCCCCATGCTGCCCTCCTGCCCACCTGCCGGTCCAGCCACAGAGCACAGCAGCCCCAGCGTGTCACGCCCCCCTGCCCTGCACTTCTGCGCACGCGCCCCCCGCCTCTTCCCTCTCCTGCTCCCCTTGCCTCCCTGGCTACGAGTGACTGCCAGAACCGAGTTAAGACTGGCCTCTTCTCGGAAGCCTTCGCCGACCCCCTTCCCCCTACGAGACAGGGGCAGGCGCCCCTCTGCCGCTTCCGGACAACTCCAGAATACCGCTGAGGCCACACTCATGTACGATGCTGTCGTACAATGACCGTTTCTTCATCTGCCTCGTCGATTAGCCTGGTGCTCGCGGAAGGCAGGGGCCACGGTCCACCTCTATGCCTGGGCCCAGCCTGCAGCAGAGCCGACAGAGTGGAGAAAAGAGCCCTCCAGCATCCCAGAGATGACATGTCCCGGCCAGCAGCTGCTCTGACCCCCCCACACCTGCACAGGATACAGGTACAGCATGTGGCTCGCAGGTAAGCAGCCACACAGCCAGTAACGATGTGGCGAGCGCTGTCTGAGCGCCCCAGCATCCGGGCCCTGCGTGTCTGGGACGGGCAGCGAGGGACCAGACCAGGAACGGGCGCCCAGGGCCACGCTGAAGCCCTTGGGATGCTCCTGAGGACTGAGGGCCACTCTCCTGATCCTGGGACATCAGAGACATTGCCATTAACATCCTCTCTAGTTTTAAATTGTTTTTGGAAAGAAGAAAAAAAACTTTCCCTCCTTTAAAATCATTTTAACAAAGAAACTTGATTTGCCACTTTTATCAGCGACACTCATGGCAATTTGATGGAGGAAAAGAATTCAGCGTGAGCTGAAGGCAGCCAGGTGCAGGACGCTGCCGACAGGGCCAGGGGACAGCGGAGTCAGACCCAGTGACATGTCACCAGGCTCTCATTTCATACTTTTAATATTTCATGAGAAACCTGCCACGTTAGTGACTTGAGACAGAACATGCTTCCCACTCTCACTCTGGGTGAAGTAAACTGTTCAGACCTCGTCCCTCCCGAGTAAGGCGACGGTGCCACTCTCCAAACGCATGCCCCGACGCACCCGTCTTCTGATAAACCCGGTCTCCCAGCCCCGCCTCTGAGCCTGCTGTCACCGGGGGCAGCTCTGCTTTCCCGCCCATCCAGCAAAATACTCTCTGCTGCGAGAGCAGCCTCAAGTTCGCCCTGAAGCAGCTGGTGACCTGGTGTCCCCCGCCCCCAGCTGTCTCGGCCGGGACAGGGTGGGGAATTCAGGTTGCACAGAACCAGCGATTACGGGGCGCGAACCGTGGGCACTGATCTATGATATTTCTACCTCTAAACAGGTGAGTAACTTTTCTAGTTTATAAAACTGTCCCGCTGATTCGCTGACAAGCAGGGGAGCGGGGAGGGGACACGCTACACGAACCTTCCGTCACCCGTGGGGGCTCCTGCTCCTTTGGGTCACGACGGGGGCTGCTCCCAGGCAGGGGGAGCCTATTGCACAAGCCGCCAGGAGGCAAAGCCCGTAAAATGTCTATAAGTGAAGCAAGCACACGAGTATCCGGTGCAGAAACGCATTGTGGAGAGAATTAAACATTTAAAGATCTGCTCTCAAAATGATGCACATGGCAGGTGAGTCCTCGCTGCTGCCGACAGGCCATGTGGCTCAGCCCGGCAGGGGTCAGCCGCGCGCGCTCCCTGCTGCTGTGCGGGGCGGGGCCACCTACCTTCCGCACCACAGGGCTCCCGTCATTGACCAGCTGGGCCAGCATCATGGCCACGTTGTGGTCGATGGTGGTGGAGTGGTCCGTCCTCTCAGCAGAGTTGCCCACGAACGTGCCAAGCGCAAACACAGCCGCACAGCGGACCTGCAAGGCAGGGGGCAGGTGTCAGTCACCCCGTGCTGGCGTGCACACCCAGCTGGCATCTCCGCCAGGCCGCGTGCAAGTTAATCCAGTTCGGTTCAGTTCAGAGTTCAGTCAACAGAGTCTCAGGGGCCCAGAGCGTACGTGTGTGGATGGGGCAGCTGCGGGGGAGGCGCCGGGGAACAACAGGGGCGTCCCACGGCCCCAGCGCCAGCAGCTGCGGTCAGGCTGAGGAGGCAGGAACTGCATCTCTTCTGGAATTAAAAGGCCAAACCGGGCACCATGGAGTGTGTTGATGAACGAGCCGGGAGTTCAGGGGAGGAGGCTGGGACGGGCCGCGGCGAGTGGGTGGTGGCGGCAGGAGGGGCAGGTGCTGCTGGGGCAGAAACGGCCCAGTAGACCGGGGACCCTGGTGCAGCTCTTGCCTCCAGCACGGCGTGGCCCTGTCCGCTCAGCTCTAGAACGCACAGCGTGGACCCACACAGGGCGGAGGGAAGAGGAACCACAGCACGTATGAAAAGGCCCCGAATTTCAGCCAACGGCCCTGGGGCTTCATCCCGTGCTGCTGTCACTGAGCACAGATGGTCTGTCCTTGGGGCTCGCGCGGACACGCAGATTGACTCAGGATCGCAGCGTGAGGACCACGAGGCCGGAGCCCCCACCCCACAGGGCCAGGGCACCAATGCAGGCCGCGCCCCACGGAGGCACTGCCCAGTCTATGGACGTGGCGGCCACTGTTCCCACGGCCTGTCAGCTCACAGGTCAGCTGTGTCCTGGGCAGTGGTTACTAGAACTGCTTTTGGGTTCCAACAACAGTTTGGAAACATTAATCCTAGAACTGGAGCTAGTCCTGCCAAGCAGCCGAAGCCACAGGGGCTGCCTGCACCACCCACTCGGCAGAGGCCGGCCGGGAGGGAAGTAGGGCTTGTCCTGCCTCTGCTGGCCGGGCCGCTGGGCTCCATCCGGGACGTGACAAGGGACCATCAGAGAAACGCAAGAGTCACTGCTGGAGAGGTATGGGGGTACTGACCGGGTGTGGGCAGAGCAGCCTGGGAGCAGCAGGCAGTGGGGACAGAGGGCAGCCAAGGAGCTGGCAGTAGGCGAGAGGGAGATGGGGAGAGATGCGGAGAGAGCAGGGCCGAGTTAAGCCTGGGGGAGCACAGTGGTGATGGCCCAGGGAGGACCAGGAGGAGAACAGCAGTGATGACCCAGGCGGGACTAGGAGGGTACATAGTCCTGGAGGGGAGGAGGAGGGCCGGGGAGGAGGCGGAGCAGAGCTGTGGTTTGATTCTGGGTGTGGGGGTGAGCAGGACACCACGTGACAGGCCTGGGGAGAGGTGGCTGCCTGAGATGGGGCTCAGCGGCCGGTGTGGAGGTGTCACCGAGGACCACCACCCTCAGGCAGTAACGAAGGAAGCGGCATCCGTGGCTAAGCCCTGAGCACCAGGAAGGCCCACAGCCACCCGCCAAGGGTGAAAAAGGACAGGAGAGGAGTGAGGGTCCCAGGAGCCCTCAGCCATTCAGGGAAAGGCAGGAAACCCAGGTAACACACACTCCAGCCCAAAGGGCTTCTGTCCCTCATTTCCCGCCCACGGGGGCCTGGCGGTGGGTGGGGCGGGCAGGTCTGCCTGGCTGAGGGAGCACCCAGCACTGCCTCCAGCCGCACCGGGCAGAGCGGCGGCCCGTCCTCTTCTCCGTGAAGAGAAGATCAACCGGCCCCTGCCTCGCAGGCCGCAGTGGGGACGGATGGCAGCACCGCGGACAGGGAGCGCCAGGGGCCCGTGCCCCTCGCCACTGAGGTGACACCAGGCGCTCCGCTGCCTGCAGCTGCGCCACCGCACACAGGCGCGCACTTGGTTCAGACGACGTCACCAATTGCGGGACTTTCTCTTCAGGGAGGTCTTACTGTGGCGCCCTTGGCACCGTGTGTGGCCTCTGACGTTTCGGCTGCAGAGCGGCCTCGAGCGCGAGCAGACCGCTGCGTGGCTCCCACGGACCCTGCCCAGCAACGTCCCGGAGGACTCTGGGACTCGGGCCACCTCTGTGGGCAGGACTTACCTCTGGAATGGGGTCGGACAGCAGGCTGTAGAGCTTCTCATGAGCGCTGTCCCGCACGCCACACCACCTGGCCGAGTCGAAGTTCTGCCAGATCCTGCCCAGGCAGATGGCCACCCACTGGCGCAGCAGGGGGTGCGGGTCGCTGAGCTGCTCCAGGCAGATGGCGATCAGGTTGCCCTGAAGGCAGGCTTCCTGCAGAAGGGAGACGACACGGGTGGTCCTCGGCCGTGGAGCCCGCACGTGGCGGGTGCCTGGCTGGGATGACGGTCGCCGCTGCTTCTTGGGAAGCTTGTTAATCACACCTCAGGTTTGCTCAATTTTCCACATTTTAAATCCTGCCAGTTCAGAGTTGCCCAGCAGTGGGCTGGCCAGCTGAAGGGGAAGGGTCTGGCCTCTGCTGGGCGCCCTCCCCTGGCATCTCCCTGTGGCTGGCGTGCTCTGGCACCCTCCCTCCGAGGCTGCCCGCGTCCCTGGACGTTCAGAGCAGCAATTCCTCTCTGGACACAGGGCGCGGGCTACACCTGCTTCTCAGTGCGTCCCACCACGAGCCCACGTTCTGCAACGCCAGGGAGGGCCCGGGGGCTGGGAGCGGCTGTGGTACCCACCTGTCCCGTGTTATAGCTGTTGACAATCACAGCGAGAATGAACGCTGTCATGGTCCTGTGTTCAGCCTGGAAAACAAAAACCAGCCTTGGTTTCGTGGCCCAGGTTCATTCCCGAAGCACCAAGTTATCCTCAACCTTTGTGATAAGCCAGAAGCATAATTAAAGTAACAAAAGCTGGCCGGACTGCTGAATTTTGATTGGGCTCTACAAGAAAGAGTAACCTTTTAAAAAGGCCTGTCAGCACTGGGCTCGCCCGAGTGGACACACTTCCAAGAATGGCACAGACACGGGGCCTCCTCCTCCGCGGTCGGGCGGTGGGTCGTGTGGGTCAACAGGAAGCTCCCGACCCCCGCGCGGCCCCGTTCCAGCTCGGCATCCGTCCTCTAGTCGAGCCCTTTGTAGCAAAATGAATGAAGCCGCCATTCTAATTTTGCTTCAGCTTTCCTCCTTTCTGCTCTTCCGCCGGACTGATCAATTTCCATTCCTTCCTCTGCTCCTCCGTTCACTTGGGAATCAGTTATTTTTTAGCTTTTTAATGGTGCCTTACATTTTGTACATGTGCTTTGAACAGTCTAATGGGTTCTACATTCCCCTGCGGTTAATGTGAGACTCTTAGGGTGTCCTAGTTCCAGCGTTCCTCCGCACGTGTAACCCTCACATCGGCGCACGCTGGCGCTCATTCCGACAGCGCGGCCACTCGGACACGCCCACGTGTCTGCCCGCGTCTGCGCCGTGCGGCTTCCTGCACCCCACTCCTCCCTCTGGGTTCAGTCTCCCCCTCCCTGACCAACAGTCCTTACGGAATCTTCCGAGGGCCGGACAGTGGCAAACTGTCAGTCTTTGTCACCCCACTCTGGAGGGTGGAGTCCAGGCTGGCAGCCTCGGCCCTTCTGTCACCTGCTGGTGCTGATGGAGTCCGCGGTCTGTGCCCCTGGCCGCCCCGCTGCAGATAACCTTTCTGTTCGTTCTAGTTGCCTTTAAGATTTTTCTTCATTTTAAAAATTTATGATACTTGCTACTTTCATTATGATGTGTCTATGTGTGAATCTGTTTTTATTTACACTTCTTGGGGTTCTCTGTGTTCTTTAAATCCGAAAACTCGTTTCTTTCTTCAAATCTGGAAAATTCCCGGTCATTCTCTGATCAAACACCACTCCTCCTCTGCTTCCTCTACTCTGCCGTTCCGGAGAGACGCTGGACGTGCAGCGACCTTCCTCAGCCCTGCCAACCTCCCCTCCCGCCTCCCCCCGGCTTCCCTGCTCACTTCCCAGAGGTCACCGCAGGTCACTTCCTCCCCAGCTCCCTTCTCGGCTGTGTCTGTTCTGCTGTCTAATTCACCTACTGAGTTTCCAACAGCAGTAACCGTCTTTCCTTCCATTGCAGGTTCTATTTTTTTTCCAGATCTATTTATTAGGAAAAAATCTTTATCATTTTGGAGGATGAGTAAGCAGCAGAGACTGTATTGTTCTCTCATAACAGGCACAAAAACATCCCCGAAGAAACTCCACAATGGCTTATTGTTTGGCAAAATTATCCAAGTTGTTTTTATTCGATCATTTGAAAAATGCTCCATTAACTTTATCATCTTTCTCGCCAGCTCCCTTGTTTCCGCTCTTGGGTGCCAAGGCTCCCGTCCCCTCACGTGGCTGGTCTGACCTGGGGCTCGGTGCAGGGTGTGTCTCTGGCCCGAGTCTACGCCGCAAGTATCCCCACAGGAAGGTTCTGCATGTGCTGCTTCCGGGACCCCAGAAGATTCAAGGATCCTGGGTTCGTGTTAATTCCTTGCTGCGTCACGCACACGGGTAGCACGAACTCGGACCCTACGAGTAGGACGCGCCTGAGGTTTCAATTTTTCATGAAAGCCCTTCTTTTTCCTTTCCACCCAGACGTGGGGAAGCGCACGTTCTCAGAAGCAGGGGCAAGTCTGCCAGTCTTCTTTCAACGAGGGGACAGTGCCGTCTTGCAGGCCCCAGCTGGAGTGGGGCTGTCGCGCTCAGCAGGGCCGCCTGCCTGGGGTCAGGTCCTGTGAGGGCTCAGGGTCTGGGTGCGGCACGGAAACCCTCGGGGTTGCCACAATGGCCACGTCTGCTGCCCACCACGGCGCTCCTGGACCTCTCCCTGCAGACTCTGGCCCTGGGTGTTTCCTTTTCTTTCTTTTAGACCTGGCTGTGTGCTGGGGCCAGCACGGTGCGGTGGGGTGGGGCCCGGCCCGTCACCGTGCACTGATCCCAGTTTGCGCTTCCTCGTTGTCTGATTTGCAGTCACGCTTTCCTCGAAGAACAGGGGTGTGAAGATTTCCAGACTCTCATGAACTTTAACTGCCACGATGATGTTTCAATACAACACTCAAGTTAAAGCATATGGTACCATCTACCTTTTAGGTAACGGTCCTATTTATAATATTTTCAGTTTTTTTTAATCATTTAGTTTAGAAAACCAACCAGAGGGTGAAATTACAAACAAAAGTTCCTTTGTACGAACAAAGGTACCTAAGAATGTGTAAATAAGCTGATATACTTAAATATTCTGGCAAAATTAAGTTATATTAAATACTTATTTAGGGTCTCTGCTTTGTTCTAATTACTACGCTGGGAGCTAGAGGTCGGGAGTAAAAGAATTAATTATGAAGCATTTACGGGATGTTACTATATACCCTATCCATGGATTACTAATTCTTAAACAATTTAATGCAATAAAAGGTATTTAAAATTTAAACTTTAAATCTCTTTTCTTCTTTCTTTCTTCCCGAAATAAGGCGAATCAGTGCCTCCTCGAGTTCCAGGCCCGCTGCATCACAGACGTCGCGGCCCTCGTTACTCTCAGCGGCGGGTGCGTGCCAGGAGGAGCAGATTTTCCCACATTGCAAAGAAGCGCCAGTGAGAAAGGACTAACGTAAACCAGGCGAAACCAACCTGCGTGTCCAGGTTAACCGCACCTCTTGCCGGAGACACAAATGACACGATGGCTGCGCTGCTGTGGCACTGAACAAAGCAGCACTGACCGAGTGGCAAGGCGCCTCCACGACCTGGCCTTGCCCCTCCCGCCGGGACCCTCTCCCGGGGCCAGTGAGCCCTGAGGGGGGACCCTTCTCCTCCCACCCCTGTGAAAGGTCTCACGACAGCCAGACATGCAGTTGGAGACAAGCGACACCAGTCTCGAGGCAGCCGGAAGGGAATGGCGCCCAGTCCTTACTGGCATGTAGGGGTCTGCCAAGACCGACAGGAAGTACTTGTGGCCGTTGTCCTTGACGAGGTCCGCCTGGCACGACTGGGGAGAGAAGACACAGGAGGGAAGCCGTGAGTGCAGAGGCCTGGAGGGGACGCCCCGGGCTTCTTGCCACACACGAGCAAGTGAGTGGGCAACGAACACTTTCTGCCTCAATTATTTTCTCCTCTCAAGTCTGATTTTCATTTGAAAGATAGCCAGCGTCGTTGTTTGCCGACATATTTCCCCGGGCTGCGGGAAAAGGACTGAGGTCTTACATCTTCTCAGATGTGAAGCATCCAAGACAGTCTCTGAAAAACGCCTTCTGGCTACCTGAGGGTGGAAGGGCCCTGCAGCCCCGCCCACGGCCCCTTCCTGCTGTCCTGGGCCCACACTCCCGCCCTCCCCGGAACGTGTCCCACACCTGGAACCTGCCCCGTTTTTGTAGACCCTGCCAAAGCCTTTTTCGCAGTTTTGCTTGTACTTCTAAAATACTGAAAACCAATAATCTATGCAAACATAATACACATTATTTGTGTCACACGGCTATGTCTGAACGGGTGTTTTTTAGAGGCCCAACTCCTTAACCCCGAGGAGCAGCTCCAAGGTGGGAGGTTTAATTTTAAGTGCTGAAGAAGCTGTCAGCTATGCAGTTCTTTCCAACTCCTCCACTCAGCCTGCACCTGTAAACGCAGTCACACCCATGCAGTCGTCACCCGTCACACATTTCTGAGGCCCTGCTATGTGCCGAGCAGTGAGCAGTGGCTCGGTCCTGGAGATACAGGTGTGTTCCCGCCCTGCTTGCCGTCCCTGGAGGAGCAGTGACCACGTGCAGCGGTGCCGCGGCTGGGGAGCTAGGGAGGGGGTGGGGCGCATGCTTTCTAGAGCAGCCGTCTAAGCAGAGGAGCAGACAGGATTATCCAAAGGAGGAAGGGCAATTCTCAAGGGCAGGAACAGCAAGAGGGGACCTGGTTCTGCTAGGAAATGGCAGGTCCAGTCCTGGATCATGGGGGTGGGAGGAAAAAGGGACAGGGATGGCCAGAGGCAGATGGCACAGGGCCAAGAGGTGCCGCAGAGCCTGGCAGGAGCTGCTGCCTGGGAGGGACAGAGCGGCGGGCCACAGGTCGGGCAGGTCATGCTGGCACCCGCAGTGGGGGCTGAGCCAGAAGGAGCCAGACTGCAGCCAGGGGCAGCTGAGGATGTGGGCGACAAGGACAGAAGGACGGGGTGACCCAGAGACGTGAGGATCTGAGTGGGATGGGGCAGCCCACTGAAGGGGGGACACCATGCTCATCGCAGAGGGATTAAAGGGGACGGAGAGTCCAACGTGGGCACACTGCACCCACGAGACACACAACAGAGCTGTCGGGAGGAAAGTGGACACGGGTCTGGAGCGCGGAGCCTGGTCAGAGCGGACACTTAGAGGAGAAGGGACACGCGGGTCAGGTGGTAACCAGGGACCCAGGCACATGCGTGTTGGGTGGTAACTGAGGACCTGCACAAGCAGGTGGCAGAGGCTCGGAGTATGGAGGGCAGGACGGAGGCCCAGGGACAGGGCCCGGGGGATGGAGGGGAGACGAGTCCCCCAGAGGAAAGGGCGTCCCCATAGCAGAAGAAATGTGGTCTCGTGTGTGGCCTGAGGAGCTGGCTGGGCTCTGAGGCTGTACCACCAGGAGCCGCGACGGTCACGCAGGGCTGGCTGGTCCAGGGGGTGCTTCTGCAAGTGCTGGTTCTGGGCGGGAGGCGAGTGGTCACGCCCTGCACAGTCAGGGGCTGAGCACACTATCTGGGAGGGCTCAGGCCACAGTGCTGAGGAAAAGCTCTTCGTTTGCGCGCAACAGCAGCAGGGGCGGGATGTGAAACAAAACCGAGTTCCAGGCCAGGCCCTCCCTCTTGGGAGCCACAGGACCCCGTACAGGTTTAAAAATCTGTGCTCACGTCACGGAATCAAAGATTAAATAACACATGTAAAAGCAATTTGACAAGCATGGGTGCTATTATTCTTGGAGACAGTGACACGGAATGAAGTCGTAGCGTTAACTGGGCTTCTAGGATGGACACCTAGAAAAACTGCCGTGCGGCACCTGGGACAGCGCGTGTGCACAGAGCGGGGCTGTGTGTGCTGTCAGCTCCCAGCATGCTCCACTCCATAAGACAAAGGCCGTTAAAGAACCGGGGCTTGGGTTTAAGAACCGAATTTCTGAGGACCAGGAGAAAAGCTGCAATCTATTCTCAGCTCCCCAGCGCCCCCCGCTCCGCAGCCCCCACTCACGGGGGCAGGGGTGGCTCTGCAGATGGGGCCTGCGGTTACTGCAGCCCGGAAGCCCCATCCACTTCCCAGGGGGGCTCTTATGATGAGGTGTTTCCTCCTCACATCAATAAACCGATACGGCGGGTTACCTGGCCGCTCTGCTGCAATGGGAGTGAGGCGGGTGGGGAGCAGGGAGCGCGGGCACCGGGGCGTGGGCCAAAGAAGCACACGGTGTTCAAGTAACACGCTTGGGAGGGTCCCTGCTTTAGCAGAGGGTTTTGAAAAATAAACTCAAGAGTGCCGACTGCACGTCCTCCCGTCAGACTCGGCCAGAGGGCCGGGAGCGCCGCGCGGGGCCTGGCTCCTTTGTTTCTCAACCAGAGGTTCGACAGGCCAGATCAAAGCCCACACGTTTACCGTGAAGCTCCTTGAACACGTCTCGTCAAACAGTGATAACACGTCACTAATTCCTGTCTTGCTGATTCTGAATCTAAGCCAGAGTATTTGAAATGATAACTCTCACGCGCCTTGCACACGGAGTCTGGTGATCCTCTGCCACGTATTGCAAGATCTCTGTTTTGACGAGGCTGCTGTGCCGCGGAGGGACCACCAGCGATGACAGCCTTCACGTGCCTACCTTCTGTTTCCACGCTCACCGTCTGTCACTATACACTGGTTCATGATACGCCCAGACTTCTCAGTCAACCTGGGGCTCCAGCCCATGGGCGCGGGCGGGGGCCGCAGAGCTGCGGGGTGCGCTCCGCTCAGGGCCTGGGTGGGCCCCTCGGCCGCCCGCTCGCCCTCCCCAGTTATTAATGTGACTGCACTTGGCAAAAGGGCTCCATTAAAGGGAACAGAAAACAAGACTTTCAACTACAAACGCGAGAAAGGCAACCACAGACGACAGCGCTGCAGAGCACCGGCGCGGGGGGAGGGGCTGGGGCTGGGGGCTGCCGCTTTCCACAGGCCCGGTCTTGCTGTGCTGTTCCCCCAGATCAAGCTACAGCGATGACGCAGTCAGGCTGGAGGGACGAGGAGGTGGGGGAGAGGAAAAGAGCGTGAACGTGAAATGGTCTCTCTGCGCCGCACCTCCCCCACCGCACGCTGGAGCCCACGTTGAGTCTCCTCTGTGCCCCCGGATTTCGGGGATTTGTGCTTTTAAAAGGGGCTGTGGGAGGCGAGGAAGAGGAGAGACGCAGACAGAGGAAAGACGAAGCAGTTTGGTTGTAGCAGCGGCTGAAGGTGGGGGTGCAAACGCCCCCAGCCCCGGCTTCCGCAGGCGAGGCTGTGAGGCCAGGGCCGTCCTCCGACGCTCGTGTGGGGAGGGACCCCCTCGTTCTCCTCGAGACAGATGACGGGTCTACTTGGCGGAGCAGCAGAGTGCACAGACTGAACACGGACTGACGGGCCACCGCGCCCCACGCGAGGCTTAAACAGCCTATCAAGGCGGGACGATAACGCCAGCCCTGAGCAACGTCACCGGGCACACGCCGCTGCGTTCTGACGTGGACATGGAGAATCACTGACACGCAGGACCTCGCTTCCGCCCACCGGCCACAGGAGTTTGCTCCCTGCGACGAGGAAGACGTGGTGGTGCTAGAAAGCTACGGAAGTTTCCAGCAGAGAAGACGGCTCGAGACTGAGCCTTGGCAGACGGTTAACGTCGGGCTGGGATGCCGCCGGGGAGCCCATCTAAAGACAGACGCAACACCAGGCCGAGAGGTTTACGTGCCCAGAGCTCCAACGAGGGTGGGTGGCCACAGAACCAGCAGCCCCTGGGAAATGGCCCCAGAGCAGGGATTTCTGCTCACTGTTCTTCGTGAATCCAGCAGAACATCCGCCGGCAGTTAAAGACGCACTTTCCTCCCAATGCCTCGACCCCGGCACAACCATGCCCACCTGCCAAGTGAGTAACTTATTAAAAAAAAAATATATATATATGTATACACGCATACATATATTTTTATATACATGTTTTCATTTCCCACAAATGGTTTATTACTTTAAATATTTTAAAAGCCCTTTAGCTCTTCTCATTAGATGTTCCTGTGTCTACAGTAAAGCTCAAATGAAGAGACCGTGAATGTCATAACTGGCGTCTTTGTGAAAATCACAAACACGCGCGAAAGCCTTCATGCTTTCCATCTCCTTTTTGTACATGTCCTAAATTTGTACAATATTCAGGGATGGAAAATTGAAGCGCTATGGAAAGGTCCAGACTGGGACGGTCCTGCCAACACCCGTCATCGCTAGCGCGCTCGCCCACCCCCGCGCCGGGCCGCTGCAGCCGAGAACAGCCTTCAACCGACGTCCCCTGCCTGCTATGCTGGACTCGTCTGCGTTCCCGGAACTCGCTGCACTGCCTGTTTCTCTGGCACAGACCTAACACTGTTCCCGCAGGCCCTTAAACTCTGTCCCCGACGGTCAACCAAGTCATGATACACAAGGTCCTCCACCACCTGACGCTGGGACCAATTCCTCAGTCTGGCACCAATAACCAGCAGTGTGATGATCGGGGTGACCCGTGAATGTTTCTGAATGAAGAAATCCATCTCATCCTTCCTCCTCACCTCCTCGGAGCCCTGGGCGTGCTGGGTCTGCTTTGCCATCGCCCACCCACCTGCTTCGGAGACCGCGGGCGCGTGCTCTCTGTCCCATGATGCCGTCTCTCCCCCAGCCGGGGACATCTGTGCGCACGGGGCTTTGTTGACCAGATCACTGAGTCCCCGCATCTAAGCTGGCTATCCGCACCCTCCACCTCTGGGCCAGACTTCACCGCGAGGATGGGCATTTGCGGCATCACCCTTTGTCGTCCGAGGAGGCAGCAGGGCTGGTTCACGTCAGATACTCAGGAGATGTTTGCTGAATGAACAAACGAATCAGCGTTTGCTGCGGAGGAACGTCGCAGCTCCTGGTCGTGTGCTAATCACACCAGTAACTGCTTGCGACACGAAGACTCACTCCATCTGTGGGCGAGGGGCGGCGGGACGGTCCAGCGCTGTCAACCCCCCTCCAGCCCCTGGGAACTGCGGGCAGGCGCGGACGCAGCCAAGTCTTGGGCTGGGACAGGCGTCCAAGCTGCTGCTCTCTGGACCCTACAGTGGACCAGCCTTGGCCTCACGTCCCTGTGGCTGCCATCTTCATCACACTCACAGAGCAAGAGCTGAGGGGACAGGAGCCGACCACAAGCAGGAAGAGGGAGGGTCTTTCTGTTCCCATCAGAAAAAGGCACCGTATTCGCTGCACCCCCACGGAAGGCAGGGGCTGCCCTGTGGGCCTCCTCCAGAAGCCGAGACCCCCGAGAACCCCAGGCTGCAGTGGTGGGGCCTCCCTATGGCTGAGCATCGTCCCAGCCCTCCCTCGCTCAAACCCAGGGGGCCTCGCTGCGACTTGGAGCAGCCCGACAGGCACAGACAGGGGCCTCGACGACATCCCCGGCATGGCTGACTCTCCGCCTCCACTTGCAAGTGCCCCGCTGCGCCCATCCATCTTGCAAGGGGCCAACTGCCACGCCCAGCAGCGCCCAGTCCGATCTGCCCAGGGTGTGGGCTGAGTGGCCTGGCAGGAGCCAGTGGCTCCAACAGGGGCAGCTGGGGACAGCGACCATCTTTTGCTTCCTCCCTCTGCTGTTCATTTCATTCTTGGCAACCTCACGGCAATTGAAAACAACTGCCTCCCTCCCGCGAGACACCTCCTGTGTCCCCGGTGGGGCACAGGCAAACAGACCCTGCTGCAGCCTGGCCCATCCCCGCCATGCACATCCGCCTGGGATTGGTCTCTTCCCGGGTGGTGGTCTCTGAGGCCTGACCCGGCGCTGGGCCGGGTGGGGCCGGGTCCTGAGGCTGGCTCCCAGGGGAGGGCGAGGCAGGGCCTCTGCTCTCTGGGTCCACAGTTCTCCAGGGACGGTGTGAGGGTGCATTTGAATCTGCCCCACAGAGTAAAACCAATTCTGAGGGCTTCTGAAAAGCAGCCGCCTCGTTTAACAAGTACGGCAGCCAGAAAGAGGCCATTTGTATAGCAGTGATAGTCTCCCAACAATGACAGCAGCCACCCGAACAGCACCTCCTTGCTGATGCATCGCTTCTGTTTAAGATGTGGGTCTTTGCAAACACGTGTCCCCAACACTGCAATTTTGTTGATTTTCTGCATGTTACAACCCATAGTTTAGAAATTAAATGGACCATCAAAGCTATTAAATTATTTACGTTAAAATGAGGGCGCCTGCAATGCCAGCTGCTGGGGAGGCCGAGGCGGGAGGATCGCCTGAGCCCAGGAGCTGGGGCTGCAGCGAGCTGTGATGACGCCACAGCACTCTACCCAGGGCGACAAAGTGAGACCCTGTCTCTTAAGAAAAAGAAAAAAAGGCAGGAGCAGGAAGGACAATGGAATCTGGGCTGGGCTGCGCCTGAGGACGTTCCGGAGCATAACTGGCGAAGCCGCCTGGGGGCAGGGTGAGAACCGCTCACACCTTGTCCGTCCGCAGTTGGCCGCAGGATGGCAGAGCAGGAAGGTGAGTCTGGTAAGCGGCTGAACTGAAGGAACGAAAGCTAGAAAATCTCAGAAATATGACACAGACAATAAAACTCCAAAACTGAACCTTGTAAAGTAAATCTAAATAACGAAAAGAAATTAAAAGAACTATATGTAGACCCTAAAAGGATAATGAAACCGCATGAAGGAGTAAAGTGCCCAGGAGCACGTCACAGCCACACGCGTGCGGAGAGCACGTGCCCTTGGAGGACACTTCCCCCGTGTGGTGACTCCCCAAGCACAGCGCCCACGTCCGACCACGAGGAAAACACCAGACACAGCCCACGGCGGGACAGGCCGCAGAACCCCCGGGCGGCGCTCACCACTGCCAGGGTCATAGGAAGTGGAGGCGGGTGAAAGCTGAGAAAATATGAACAAAGTGTGGACTTCAGTGACTGATAATCCATCAGCATAGGTCATTAGCGGTGACGAATGTGCCCCACTAACGTGAGACGCCCATGACAGGGAGAGCTGCCTGTGGATATGTGGGAACTCTATTCACTATCTTCTCAAGTTTCCTGTAAATCTAAAATTGTTCTAAAAGGTAAAACGTATTAACATAAAAACTAAGGGAACAGGAGTTCAGGACACAAACAAACAAGATCCACACGTAGGAGGCAAAGCCGTCTGCCCACGTCCTAGCAAGACCGGCCCCTACGGGGCACGCCCTCCGCCGTGGGACCTCGGCCTCTCGGGTTCTCGGAGGCTTGCTCTCCAGTCAGCTGACCAGACTCAGAAGCCGGGGATGTGCGCCATTGCTGGGGGACAGAGAAAGCCAACCTTGCATTTTTCAATTGCATTTAGAGCGTGAGTCAGGAAGGGGGAGGAGGGGAAGACGTGGAGGAACAGGAAGCGCAGAGGCTATTAATGTCAGAGCGAATGAACTGTGATGAAATTACTTCGCAGAGAAAATAGGAATTTCGCGATTAGGACGGAGAGCTGGCGCAGACATGGGGCCGCAGAAACAGAGCCCTGCTGATCTCTTATCTGTCTGTCACTCATGGGTGGCTTCTTTCTCCGCACCGCGGCAGTTCACGCACACGGGGAAGCATCTCCGCGTCCCCAGATCTGGACTGACTTCATAAATACTGACACACAGCGCTTTTCCAAATTCCTTGGCGTTGTGCCCTTGGTGTTCTCTGGCGGTACTACGAATACAACCTTATTAACTATCACGGGGAAAGTCTGTCTGAATTGCATATTAACTGTGTCTACGAAAGAACCTCGATTAACTGGAACCTCGCCTACGGGAGTCCTTAGTTAACTGCCCCCTTCCTTAATCTTGTTAACTGGCAGATAGACCAAGGACGACAACAGGCTTGAGGAAGTCATTAGAAATCCACCATCACCAGCCTTGCGCGTGACTGACAGACAGCACAGAGCTGGCCACATGTTCCACGTTCTCTCACCTACAAGTCACGCTGTCTTTGACCTCTGACCCCGTCACTGACCTTAAGCACAATTTTTAAAAATATTCTGCCACACTGCTTTCTCCCTCCCCCTCCCCCTGAATTTTTCTACACTTTTTGGAAGTTGCAGGTAGCGTGATGCTTTGCCTGAAATATTCCTACGGAAAAGGACATTTGCTTCCATAACCACAAAACCATCATCATTCCTAACAAACATAACACAGATACAGACCATTCCCCGACACCCGGTCCAGATGCAAGTTCTCCTGATGGTTCGCGTCGTGCCCTTTATAAGCCTCTGCCTTTGGATCCAGGATCCAACCAAGAACTACCCTCAAGGGTCAGTATCATCAGCTCTGAGAGCAATTTCCTGTTTTACTTTCCTTTTGTGGAGACGGAGTCTCCCTCTGCTACCCAGGCTCGTCTCGAACTCCTGGGCTCAAGGGATCCTCCCGCCTTGGCCTCCCGAAGTGCTGGGACGACGGGCGGGAGCCACTGCGCCCAGCCCCCGTATTTTTTTTTTTTTGGTCTTTCTTGGATGGAAAATTTAGAAGGGAACAGGACAGTTCCTTGCCAACTGTTCCACAATTAGAATTTTTTAACAGCTTCACTGAGGTACAAGTAACATACAAGAAGTCACACATATTTAAAGTGTAGGGTCTGGTAATCGTGGACACAGGTACCACGGGGACATGTGAAACCACCACACAATCGAGGCATCGAGTCGGCCCCTCAGGAGTTCCTGGGTCCCTCTGTCACCTGTCCTCCCACACTCGCCTGCCCCTAAGCAGTAGGATCTGCTCTCTGGGGCTACAGACGACTTCGCATGTTCCAGAACGTTACCCAAATGCAACCGTACGGCACGCATTCTCTCACCGACCTCGCTCGCTCAGCGTACTTATTCCGAGGTCAGTTCATGCCTTCGCATTGCTGAGCGGCGGGACGGAAGCCATCGCACGATAAACCGCAGTTTCTTTCTCATTCACGCGCCTGCGCGTGGTGCGCGCCCTGTGGGGTGTGCTGCCCCACAGCAGAGGGTCTGTCTATGACCACGTCCCCACCCGACTGCGAGCTTGACGGGAGGTGACCTCGGTGTCACCTGCAGACCTCAGCACACAGCCGGATCCAGGCACTGGGCCCGGTCTTTGTGGGGAGAGCACGAGATGGGAGGGCCCAGCAGCCGCGAGGCCGGGGCTGATACGCGTCGAGAGTGGAGCTGGGCGGCCTGGGGAGTGACCGCTGATGCCTCGGGCCGAGGCTGTGCCGACACCTCGGGGCGGCAGCGGGGCCTGGTGCTGCTACTCACAGGTTCAGCGTGGGGGAGAGAAAAGCAACTTTGGAGACAGAAGGGCTGATGTGGGGTCTGGGCCAGACAGGCCTGAGGTTTGCTCACGGTCAGTGACTGCCGTGGTCCGGAGCACAGGGAAAGGGGGACAGGAGCGGGGACAGCCGAGGGGGCACTTTACCCTGGAAGAGCGGGAGGGACAAGCCGTGCCCGGCGGGAGGAGGCAGTGATGACCCACACCCGGAGGCGTGAGGCTCACGGAAGGGGCAGGGCAGGACGTGGGGGTCCACGCAGTGGCACCCGCTGTCGTGCGGGCTGGTACACTCCCGGGTTCAAGGAGAAAGCCGGGGAAGGGGCTGGAAGCCGGGGAAGGGGCTGGCCTCACTGACGTGAGAGGGGACGGACAGAGACTACTCACACTGTCCACGGCGAGGATCTTGGCCCAGATGAAAACCAGCAGCGGCCTGAGCTCCCGGGCTGAGCTCTGGAGCAGTTTGAGCACGTAGGGGAAGATGCCGACAGACAAGGCCTGGGGGAGAAGGGAGAGCATCAGCGTGTGTGCCTGTGGGGACGGCGGCACGGGGACAAGCGGAGCCACTGGGGACACTGCACGTGTGGGCAACGTGGCAGGAACAAATGAGCCTCCCGTAAGGTGAAGAGAGGCTTCCTCCAGGTTTACTCCTCTCTGACGCAGACCTGGCAGCTGCCGGGGGCTTCCAGCCTGGACGGGTCTAGGGGCCAGGAACGTGCCGCCGTGAGCCAGGGGGCCCACGGTCCTCGCCCGCAGGTGGCCGCCCGCTCTCAGCAACAGAGCATCGGGCGCCTTCCTCGTGACGCTCACCCGCCTTGCTCCAACCTCCCCTCTGCACTTGCGGTCAACCTGGGAGAAAGACACCTGCCTGGTTTCATCTCGGCCACGCTTGCCATCTTAAACGGCCACTGCCGCTGCCCTATGTTAACAGGATGAGTGACCAGAAGCTTCAGAACTGCGTCTGCAGTGAGGGTGAGGACGCGCGAGAGGACCCAGGCTCCAGCTGGGAGGAGCCACCACAAGGGGCTCGGGGCCACTCCGTAGAAAGCCGCACACCAACAACACCCCTGTCCTGCGACGGCGAAATCTAACACCAGGAAGGGAAAGAGGGCAAGGCCCAAACCCAAACCCTGCGACACGGGGCACCTCGGAAGTTGCACAGACCACAGAGAACGCTCTTGGGGGGCCTCGGGACACCCCCACAGCGGAAACTCGCCCCAGGTCACTTGGCTGCGTTTGGGTCACAGACTGTACTGTGGAGTCTGACCTCCACCCCCACCGCCCCCAGCCCCGAGTCCGTGCGGAAGGTACGTACCAGGCTCACTGCCCAGGGCCCCAGGTCCAGAAACCTGCCCAGCAAGTCCAGGGCTCTCAGGCGGTGCACTTGGCTCAGCAGCACCTGGAAGACGAGAACGAAGCTGCTCCACTGGAGGCCGCGCGAGCCTCTGCGGCTCCCACCCGGGCTCCAGCTCTGCAGGGGCCTGGCCACGCCACGCCACACCGACCAGCGCTGCTGCTCCTTCCTCCGCGGGCCTGCTTCTGGACAGGCGGAGAGAACACTCTTTATTCCTTCATGACAGACAAAATACGCTTACTGTAGAAAGCACTAGAACAAACACTTCTTAAGAAAACCTCACTGGTGACATTTTGGTTTATGGACTTCCAGACATTGTTCTCTATGTACACGCTTCTCTTATTTATTCTAAACTAGGTAACGTATTGCTGTATTTCTCACGTCCGCTTTAAGTAACACGTTCTGGCCGTGTCATTCCCACGGCAGCACAGTGCCGCACGTTCGGAAACACACGGAACTCCTTGAAGCAGCCTCTCCACTGCCAGCCCTTGACGTCATCATCGAAACCCTGCTGCTGCAAACGACGCCGTGGGAGCGTCCTACTAGCCACGCACCTGCACACTCCTAGGAGAAGCCAAGAGTGACAACACCAGTCGGGGCACGTGTGCTCCTGTCACCAAATTACCCTCCAGCTGCGAATCTCGCTTTCAACAGGCAGCATGTGGTGTCTCTTCCTGCCGCCTTTGCTGGCTGCCAGGTAGTGCCCACTGCTGTGTGGCCTCGGGTGGCTTAACGAACATCCCTGAACCTTAAAGATGACACGATACCACACGACGGTTCTATTAAGTAACAAAGGCGTGGGACAAAACCAGCCCGTACCACACTATCACCACCATTGCCAACGTGACGGGGAAACGCATCCTTTTGTGACCTGAATTTCTTTGACCACAAGTGACACTGGGCACTTTTTCACAGGTTAATTGGCTATTTCGCTAGTGAACTGGCCGTGCACGTCCTCGTTTTTCTACCTCAGTGTCTGGCTTTTACTTATGGACACGTGAGAGCTCTTCATGGAGGTCAGAGCGAGCTTTGCCGTACGTTTGCATGTATTTTTTGTTGCTACATCAAAGTTTTACATGTTTGACGGAGTCGCGTATGTTGATCTCTCCTTTACGCTGCTCGCACTGGAGGGTGCGCCGAGTCCCTCGGATCCGGGGCGTCCCGGGACAGGTGTTCACAGGGCAGGTGCGTCGTGCCGGTTCCCCAGCCAGCCACCCGGTCGGCCCTGAACGGCTGGCAGAGCTACGGACAGGTGCGACCTGGGAGGCCTGACCCAGCCGGGGGTCTCGGAAGGTTTCTCCTCCCAGTTGAGGAGACGCACAGGACACAGCTGGGCAGCTGGACCCTGAGGGTGACGACTGGGTTCCAGCTGGAGGAGCTGGGACGGGTCGGGGCGTCTGAGGAGAGGCCGGGGCCAGGCCCAGTGAGGTCCTGCATGCTGGTGCTGAGAGTCTGGTTTGTCCCGAGAGCAAGAAGCAGCCACTGGCCGTCGCTAACTAGCAGTGACCCGTCCAGTCTGCCTGCCGCGGGGACTGGCCTGGCAGGAGGCTGGGGTGGGGAGAGGTGGACCCGACCATGGTGCGCAGAGACCCGGAAGGCCGAGAGGAGGAGGGACCAGGAAGAGGAAACTCTGGAAGAGAAGGTGTGGAATGAGTCTGACAGCTGTCGAGAGGCAAGAGAAAAGGATAAGAGGTCAGGGACACAGGAGCCCCCGCCAGGGAAGGAGCTGGGGTGGAGGAGGGGGTCCCACGGGCCAGGTGGGACGGGAAAGCAGGGACGTGGCTCCTGGAGGCGGCAGCAAGACTTTTGCAGAGGATGCCATGGACCCAGGGCTGTGGCGTGGGGGGGGGCTGTGGGGATGGAAGCCAGGCCAGGCGGGGGACGGGCGGGGGCTGCCTGTGCGGGGAGGGCCGGAGCCTGGCGTGCCCAGCTGGGGGCAGAGAAGGAGAGGTGGGCCCAGCAGCCGGAACGCACCTCGCGCCACCCTCTCGCTCTCGTGTTTCGGAGGTGCTGAGAGATTCTTTGGTTCAGAAGCGGGAGCGGTACGTGGGACTGCTCGTGGGGGCGACTTGGAACCTCATGCCTCTCTCCACTGTTCGACTCAGAGCTGTCTGTGCCGTCGCTGCCTGGAATGCAGGCTCTGGGGGCGGGTCGGTAGAGAAGCGGGGCTCTGAGCTCAAGCCAACTTGATCTTAATCCTGCCTCTGCCACCTGCTGGCAGTGTGGCTTAAGTTGCTATCACTAACTTCTGGAAACTTCGATTTCCTTATCAAGAAAAATGGAGATAATGATGTCTGACTGGGGCTTATGCTCAAAATTAAATGAGATAAAGCACATCAAGTATCTGGCACGGCGTCATCCAGCACAAGGGCGCTCAGCGCACGGATGCCGGTTCTGATCAGCCCACGCTATCTGCGGAGAACACGAAGCTGCCTGAGGACGCGTCTCCAGGTGACCCGGGTGAGGGGAGCCCTCTGCGAAAGGAGGCAGTCCCAGGTTTAGCTTCAGTCCTCCCTAAAGCTCACAAAGATGATTTGCTTTGCTCTTTAACATAAACAGGGACAGAGCTCTGTTCAAGGCCAACAGTTGCAGAGCAACACTCAGCGGAAGGAACGGGCAGCACAGGGCAGGAGCAGCTCCCGCTCCCTGAGTGCGCCGACCTGGCGGGAAAAGGCCTCCTTGTAACTCCTCATAAACGACACAGGCAGGGCCGCGTTCGCCGTCGCTACGTGACGCTCTTGGTGCCACATCCACGCAGCGCACGCCGACGCCTCCTTGCTGAGTCAGCGCCCGAGAATCTCAGGCAACACGGGGTTTTGTGCTGCAATTATTAACGTTTTATTTGAAAATAAACATTGCCAATGAAGAGTATTAGGGAAAACATTGAGTATTGGTTTTTCCAAACATTATCGGTACTTTTTAAAAAACCAAAAAAACTCCAGTTTCAGACCATACCAGGATCCGTGGCAGTTATGCAGATAATGGTGGTGAACTGAACGAGCCGCTGAGATTTCCCGTCGCCTGTGGATCCAGCTGAAGACTCATAGCGGCTCTACGAACACGAGGGAGCTGCAAGGTGACCGCATGTCACCTGCCCTGTGCGCGCGGACAGAGCTGGGCTTCCGGGCCGAGGCGGTTGGCGGGGCCGCCTCACGAGGCAGATTCCGCGGAAGTGGCCCTAGAGCGCCAGACCCTGCAGGCCGGCACCTGGAACAGCCGACGCCTGGCGATTGGTGTGACTTAGAGTCCCGAGGTGTACCACGTGTGACGGTGACACTCCAGGTTGTTATTTGCTGCCACCACTACTAACCCTGTACTTTCAATCTGTAAGAAATCTGAGAGCAAACCAGGGTCTCCTAACGAAATGTTCACACTGATTTGCAAGATCTGTGCGAAGGCCCTACAATTTGATCCTACAGAATCACTTTCTTCCTTCTACAGCACTGACACTCTCCATTCTCCTGCCTGCGCTTCTTTGCTCACGTGCCTGGGGGAGGATGGCAGACAGCAGCGGGGACCCGGCCAGGCGTGAGATCCGGGAACAACTCCTGAGGGGCCCTGCCGCGGACATCGTTGATACCAAGGGGAGAAATAGCAACCATTGTTTCTAAACACTCTATCTTCCTTCTGTTCTTTTATGTTTTTAAAGGGCAGAAAAGACATGGAGGCCAGTAAGGAAGGCCAGTCCCGTGCTCGCGCTGCCACGAGGGCCCAGGAACAGCTGGGCCTGACGGAGTCCTGGACCCGTCGGTCCCCAGCTGAAGCCCGGGACTGTGGGTGGAGAAAACTCACCCTGGCTCACGGACTAGGCGGCAGGGATCTGAAAAGCTGCGCAGTCTGTGATACAATTCTCCTTCCCTTAAGGAATATTTTCTGCATTTCCAAGGTACTAGAGGATAATTCATGGATCACGGGGTCCAAGCTTTGGCAACAACAAAGGTTCTTAGGATAAAGCACAGGAAGTTGACAGAACCAGTGGGGAAGAGGCAGCGTGGGCTGCACCAGGGGGAGGCTCCTGCCCCTTTGCCTTTCGCCTTGTCCGTATTTTCTCGGTAAGTCGAGGTTCGGCAGCTGGCCCGGGCGGCACAGCCCAGAGACAGACCCTGCACGGCCATAAAGGGCCTGCTGCCAGCGCTTGGCAAAATCGCACAGAGAATCCGCACCGTCTCCTCAGGATGCGGTCCCAGTGGGGCTTCTCTTCCCCGCGGGAGAGGGCACCGTGATGGAACGTTACACAGGACAAATCAATGAAGGCCGTTTGCACAAGGACTGTTTGCCAAACACAAAAGAACTGGCTTTAATCGGCTTGGCACCAGCCCCTGCTTTGGACAGGACCAATTTCACCCCATCCGTTGTGAGATGAGGGAAGGTCAGTGGGAAAGACAGTTTCCTCTGTGAGATCCTGGTGGCCCAGGTGGCCCATGAGGAGCTGCAGGCACGGGGTGGCCAGCCTGTGCCACCGCCAGCCCCCAAAATCCCGCCTGCTGCTGCCATTCACACCCAGCCTCTTTCCTGTGCGTGTAAAGAGATGTCGTCGCGGCCACGTGTCTACCTTTGTTCTGTTGCTGTTATCATTACATATTTTGTTTTGAAAATTAGTTTGTTTACAGCTCACCTTGCGATCTGAGAATGGTCAAAAGCCAATGGAGAAGCATACAAGAGGAACGGTAATAATTTTTGCAATCTTTTTATAATGTCAGCAAAGCAGCAGTCAAAATAAATAAAAAGCAACAAAAACATCTACAGTGACTATGGCACAGCGCCGTGCTCTGCCGCCCACCTGACCACCAACGCAAGTGAGGACGGGCCACTGTTAACATTTTTTTTTTTTTTTTTTTTTTTTGAGACAGAGTCTCACTCTTTTGCCCAGACTAGAGTGAGTGCCGTGGCGTCAGCCTGGCTCACAGCAACCTCACACTCCCGGGCTCAAGCAATCCTCCTGCCTCAGCCTCCCGAGTAGCTGGGACTACAGGCATGTGTCACCATGCCCAGCTAATTTTTTCTATATATTTTTAGTTGTCCAATTAATTTCTTTCTAATTTTAGTAGAGACAGGGTCTTGCTCTTGCTCAGGCTGGTCTCGAACTCCTGAGCTCAAACAATCCGCCCGCCTCGGCCTCCCAGAGTGCTAGGATTACAGGCGTGAGCCACCGCGCCCGGCCACTGTTAACATTTTTACGCACTTATTTTCTCCACGCCTCTCTTTGCTGGCTGAGATTCTTGGGGCAAAGTCCTGGACGGGGTAAAACCTCAGTCCTGTCACAAGCCCGCGACACCAGCTGCTGCAGCGGCAAAGCAGACTGGATGGTGGCGGGAGGGCTGCGTGCTCCGCGGCCAGGACAGCGACAAACGGCTCCCCATCTGTTACGTGATCTCTTCGGACTGGGGGAGCTTTCGCCTAGTGAAGACGTACGGTGCTGTCGCGGTGTAGCCAGCAGCCTGCGCGAGAGGAACAAGCCCCCCTGGAAGGGAGGCCGATGTCCGTGGACGGGCGGGTGACGAGACACGCGCCCCCACTTCGCAGAGCCAGCCGAAGTGGCCTAATCAGCTCTCTGGGGCAGGTGCTGACCCTACCCCGCCCGCTCTCAGAACGCGGCACCCCAGCCGAAGCAGGGCTGGCCGCCCCACAGCAGGGCTCTGGCAGCCCCACTGCTGTGGGACACCCCCCACCCCCCCAGCATTCACCCTCCTGCCGAGTTCAGGCACCCCTCCAATGACAATAAATTGCTCCCAGCTGCTAAAGTGAGTTATCAGACATGGGTGTCTACACTGACCAGCGGGTTTTTAAACTCTGATTTTGACCCAGCCCACACACCTCCCCCACAAATACATATTCACTGAAATAAGTTTTGAAAATCTTCCTGATTTTACCACCTGTGACAAACTCTGGAGTTTCCTATCTCACTAATCACAGAATCGGCCGGAGGACCCAGGAAACCGATCTCCCAGCCCACGAATAGGCCACGCCGGCATCGGAACGGCACAGGGTCCGTCCCTTAGAGCAGCCGCAATCACCAGCCCTCCGTGGGCAGGGAGGGCCGATGGCGTCTGGGGTCTGCGCCTGCATAGTCCACAGCCAGGGGGTGCCGGGTTATGACGCCCAGCGTGGCCTGTCCACAATTTGCTCCCGTGCCTCCTCCTTCCAAAGAGGAGGAAGCAGCAGCCTGGAGAGCCCACGTTGAAGGAAGGTCACCACGGCGGCGTTTCTGCCATGGCCGAGGCAGAGCCTGGCAAGCCGGGAAGGCACCGGCACCTCCCCAATGCGCTTCCCTGAGGCTGACGAGTGGGCAATGGCCTCGCCAGGGAAGCCCTTTGGGAATAAATATGAACCAGGTCCAGCGACTTCTGATGGGACATGTGACTCCTGCCCCGAACGCCATCTGGCCCAGAGCACGGGCCCTTGGCTTCCTTCCCGCGGGACCCCCCGGCGAACCCCGCGGTCTGAGGACACTCACCTGCAAGACGATGGGCAGCTGCTCGGGCGGGTTCCGGTTCTCCACGCCCATGGTGAGCCACACCTGGAACGCGGTCAGCTGCTCCGCGAAGAACGGGCTGTGCTGTGGACGGCAGAGGAGAGCGCGTCAGGGCCACATCCCCAGATGCCGGGTACACCCGGCCGCCCTCGATGGTCCGGGTTTACGAGAAGCCCCGCTCTGCAGGATTGCGACGATCCCGGCAGGAGGTGCAGGCGGAAAGTGCATCCACTCTGGGGACATCACGAGGAGAGCCCACAGGGTTGGTGACAAGACCAGATGTGGGCGAGGGTGGGCAGAGGTTGAGGGCCTGGGCACCTGAAAGGCTGGGGCCACCTGCATGCAGCTGGGAGGCTGTGCGAGGAGCATGTTTGGGAACCTAGACTCGGACACGTGGTGCCCACTGTGTCTGTTGGACACGCAAGTGGGTGGCTGACCACGTGAGGCCGCAGGTCGGGAGAGATACATTCGGGAGTCAGTGGCGAGTAAACTCTTGCTAAGTGAACTGAGAAAGAGAAGGGACCCAAGGAGCCGAGGTGGGCCCTGCGAAGGAGGTCGTGCGGGCACAGCCCTAGCGGGGCTGGACACCAGGAGGAGCAGGTGTCAAGGAGGATGACGCAGCCAGCAGAGTCGCAGAGTGACGCTGGGCCAGGAAAACCAGGACCAAGAACTGATCACGACTGGCTCGGAAGCCAGAGGTCATCGAGGACCGGCGAGAAGAGCCTGGGCTGGGCACGAGCACGCCTGGCCCGGAGGCGAACACGAGAGGAGGGAACTGGGCCCGAGCGCAGACAGTCTCTGCAGGACTTGGCTGCAGCGGGAAGGACAGCAACGGCAGGACCTGCAACGCACTTTACAGGTGCGAGGATGAGGGCTGCGTGGACGCGGATGGCAAAGACTAGTCAAGGGGCACCGGCGGCCGGGAGAGGCTGCAGGGGGACGTCCGGGGGAAGGCTGGGGGCTGGGCTGCTCCAGGCGAACAGGAGGCGGCACACGTGGGCCCAGGTGCAGAGAAGGGGGAAGACGTGACAGCAGGAACCTGCTCTCTCGGGCGGCTTCCGTCTCCCCAGTGACACAGGAAACAGGGTATCCCCTGGCAGCGAGGGCAGAGGAGGTGCTGGAGCCGGCAGGGCGAGGGCGAAGGGGGTGGAGATGGAACTAAGGGACGTGTGTGGTCCGCCGGCCGGGTGGCACCGGGCTCCCGGGGCCATTGCAGACAGGTCCACAGGGACCAGGCCTCGTGGGCCTGGGCTCACCTAGTCAGCTTAGCCACGGGCACAGGCTTAGTGCGGCCGGGTTGCAGCTCCGTGGTGCCACGGAGAGGGTGGCTGGAGACAGGGAGGGGTTTGCAAGAATGACGTCAGGGCTGGGCCGAGGAGCAGGGGCAGCCGAGGCCCTGGCTGGTGGGTCTGGAGGAGCACTGCAGTCAGAGTTGTGGGGCTGGCTGAGAGGGGGTCCCCAAGATTCGCCTGTCCTGCCACTGGGGCTACAGTGTCCTTTACCAGCCATGGGAAGGACAGCTAAGGACACCAGGGTGGCTCCGGGAGGAGGGAGGCCAGGCCTCCGGAAGGTGTGGGAAGCGCGTGGCCTCGCGGAGGAGGCCTGCTTGACTCCTCCTCGCTGCGGAGCCGTCCCCGCTCAGTACACGGTTCTGCCTTTCCCGAGCCCCGAGTACAGACAGTCCCGCAATTATCAGTCTCCCCCTCCCACCATCCTCTCTTCCCCACTTTCTTTTTGTGTCCCGGGGGGCGCAGGTGGCCGCAGGGCAGCTGTGTCTGGTGTGCGAGGAGAGGGTGGGAGGGGTGTGTCTCTGTGAGGCCACACGTGGCCATGCGCACGCGGGAGCCCAGCTGCAGGCGAGCGCCGCAGCCCTCGGAGCAGCCTGGCGGGCAGAGCCCTGCAGCCCCCAGGAAAGCCAGCGTCACGTGAGGACTCAGCAGAGAACATTCGCCATTCAGGAGCTCATGTCTGGTGACGTCAGCTCATATAAAGTTAACCACTTTGGAGGGCAACCTGTGAAGTTGGAATGGAGCCCTCAAAGTGAATTTTCTGTTTTCAACTGCGAATTATTCAAAAATTGGTTTAAAAACATCTTGTTAAGTGCCCCCTCCTCCACACGCCGTGAGAATCTAGTTTTACTGAGTTGGAAAAAGCCTCCTCCCGTCTGTGAATGGGAGTCAGGTAATCCAGATAATTACATCTTTTGCCTTCTGGATTTTCACGCCGCTCATGGCTGGAGTAGCCGCTCCACGCAGAAACGAGAAGAAAAACTCCTGCTCTGTCCCCCCAAAGCTCACAGAAAAGGAGGAGCGCAGCGTCGCAGCCAAAGAGTTCGTCGCGCTGCCTGAAGCGGGGAAGCTGGCAAACGAGAGTGACACGAGGACAGCTCGATGTTTCAAACGACGCCCCACACGGCACCCTGGGAGCTGCCCCGCACCGCTGCGAGGACGATTCACAGACCTGACGTGGCCACGTCTCCACTTCGGGGAGAGCGCGGAGCCGGGGTGAGTGTTCAGAGGAGCTCACCCCCGCGTGGGCCAAGGGTCCGAGTCGCTCGGCCACACCACACATTCGCGCCTCCCAGGACGATTCTGAGGCCTGGCGTTTTCGCTGTCAGCCCAGGCGCTAGGCGATCTGGCGTTCAAACACAGGGGCCGCAGACGACAACAGCAAGGTCGGCTGGGAGGGCCTCGGACTCACTCACGCCTCCCAGCCGAGGCTGCCCACCAGACCGTCGCTACCGTCGAGCCCAGCACAAGCCCCTTCTCCTCTGCTGCGCTGACCCTGGGACTGGGGTGTCTGTCCTGACGGTGGCGTGATGTCCTTGCCACTGTGACGATCTTACTACTTACAGAGGAGACAACGGGGACCCGCCAAGCAGTCGAGAGCGTTCGTGTCCTTCCCACGTGTGAGCTGTGAGCTCCTGCCGTGCCCAGGATGCTCGGTCTCCCAGGCTCCCGCAGCGCAGGAGGCTCCGTCGGCCTTTCCGCCACATCACTGGACACCATTCCGACAGGGCGCACGTCACTGTTCACTGAAATCTGTCCCCCCAGCTGCTGACTGTGGAGAGGGATGTGTATACTAGGCTTTCTTTTAGTGTGTCTGAAAAAGAGGCTTTAAGATGGGGCCTGGGAATTATAGGCAAACTGTTATAATATAGAAGGGAATTTAGTAAAGCTGCTGAACAAAACTACTTGCAAACTATATGTATTTACATACGCAAAGAGAAATCAGAATATGAAATTTAAAAAAATACCATTTACAACCAAGTTGATGGATTATAAGACCAAACAGTGCAAAAATGTCGACTTCGCCCAAATCAATCTATAGATTCATTGTAATCTCAATCAAAACTCGAGCAGGTTCGTTGCAGAAATTAACAAATTGATCCCCAAATTCACACAGAAATGCAGAGGGCCACACGTACCCAAGGCAACCTTGGAAAAGCACAGCGCCGCAGGCCTTGGCCCACCAGCTCAGAAACCGTCCCCCACGGCGCCGGGGTCAAGACGGCGGAAGCGGAACGAGGACCAGCGGGACAGACAGACACAGACGGCCCCGGCATCCACGCAGTAACGCGGGCGAGTGGGATGCTCACACGGGGAGGAAACGTTCCTGCCCCATCTCAGGCCACACTCGCAAGTGGATTCTAGAAAACCTCAAGGTCTAAAGGCGGAAGGGAAAACACAAATGCTCTTACGGGAGAAACAGGGGAGAGCGTCTCCTCAGGGACACCAGAAGCCAAAACCATAAAAGAAAAAAACTGATAAATCAAATTTTGCTAAAATAAGGAATTTCTGTTCATCAAGAAAAAATATTTAAAAAGTAAAAGATGAAGTCCACAGAGTGAAAAAACACGTCCATTAATACATGACAAAGAATTTGTTTCAGAATATACACAGAACCTCCCCACATCAGTAAGAAAGAGATAATACAAAAGAAAAATGGTTAAAAGACTTGAACAATTTACAAAAGAGGACATTCAAATGGCCAACAAAAGTATGACACGCTGCTCTATGAGCCCTCGGGGAAAAGCAGGATCAGATCTCAAGGAAGTATCTTTCCGCACTCAGCTGTAATAGCCAAATAAATATGAATAGCGACTAAAACTCTCCCACTGGCGGCAGCAGTGTGAACTGGCTCGGCCGCTTGAAGAACCGCCTGGCAGCAGCAACTAAAAGGAACATGTGGGAACCCGTGACCCGAATACCCCTCCCCGTGGATGCGCCGGCAGCAACGTGCCACGTGGTGCGCGGGTGGTGGAGCCACCAATGCTAACAAAGATAAATAACATTTTAGTGCAGTATTTGAAAGGTAAAAATTAATGCAAAAACCCATCATAAACAAAGCATCAACATTTCAAACACAGACGGGTCAGTATTACTGCTTCTTCCTTTGCCACGGGCTCTGGTGACGCTGGACCTGCGCCAGCCCGCGCTATGCCTGAGGGCCAGAGCCTGGAGCCCCGCTGGCGCGGCGCGGACAGAGTGTGGGGTACCCGTCCTGCGCTAACAATGAGCTGTGACCGCGAGCGACGAGCGACGCTGAGTGAAGCGGGAAGACGCAGGGCCCACATCCTGAATGGTTCTGTTTATCTGAGTGCAAAGCCGGGCAGCAGAGCGGCCCCTCGGGGGTGGGGGCAGGAGCCAGCGGGGAGCTTGCTACACACGTGTGCCCAACTTGTAAACATTCGCAAGGCTGCACGTTGGCGATGTGGACCAGAGGTTTCCAACCTTTTCGGCACCAGGGACCGGTTTCACGGAAGGTAATTTTTCCACGGATGGGGGAGGGGTGGGGGAGGCGGAGCTCGGTGGTGGCGCAGCGATGGGGAGGGAACGGCGGTAAATGCAGAGGAAGCCTCACTGGCCACTCCCCTCCTGCTGTGTGGCTCCCCGGCCCAGGTTTCATGGAAGACAGGGGTGGGTGGGGTGGCGGCAGAGCCTGGTCCCTAACAGGCCTCGGACCAGTACCAGTCTGGGGACCGTGGTTTGGGGACTGCAGATGTAGGCAGTTTTCTACATGTATGTTAAACCTCCAAAAAGGAGGAGGCAAAATAAAAAACCCACATCAGCTATCTCCTCCCTGTCCCAACACGGTGAAACTATTCCCACGCGCGGAATATTGATTCTAGTAGGTTAGAAACGATGTCGCAAAATCCTTGGAAAGATACTTGGCGAAGACACCTGGCACAGAGACAGAAGTGTTGAGTTTAAAAGGGACCCACACACAGATAGAAACCGAAGCATTTCACACAAAAGCAGACAGCTCTCATCACTTAAAAGCACAAAGCAAAGCCGTGCTCAGAATGCAAAGAAGCCCAGGTTTTGTGAGGTTCCCCAAACTGCTGCCTGCAGTGACAGGCTCCGGCCCCAGCAGGAGGTGCCGGCACTCAGGTCCGGCTGGGGAGGAGGTGGGTGCGGTCCCCGCTCTCCACGAAGTCTGTGACTCCGAAGGAGACCCTGCCCCTGCCCCACGGAATTTATGGTCCACGGGGGCAGAGGCCTGGAGGGAAGGTCTGTGGTCTGGGGGCCCCACGGTCAATGCCAAACACACCACGGGGAGCCCAGGGAAGACCATGCCAGCTTCCATTTTGGGGCAGCCTGTGATGGACTCGACAGGTGTTAAAAGAGACGGATGGACGTATGGGTGGACAGACAGACGGAGAGTACAGAGGAAGAGCAGCAAATGCTAATGGTAGGAGTGAGTGATGGGCACAGGGTGCTCTTCGCAAAGTCTCTCCAACTTTGCTCGAAGCTTGAATATTTGCACAATAAAATGTTACCCCAAAAAATCACGCAATAAAGAGAGCAACAGAGGATAAAGGGGAGTCCTGGTAAATCCCCGGAGGGTTAACACACTAGCACACGCAGACCGCACGTGCACACCCAGGCCCCTGGCTGCGCAGGCTAACACTTCCCCAGTGACCATGACGTGCGCTACGGGAAACGCCTTTGTTGCGAGCTGAACCCTTCTTGGCCATAGGTGCCTTTGACCCTGGCTCAGGGTGTGACCCCCTCAAATTAGTGACAGTAGTTTCCTGTGAGCAGGGCCCTGTGCACGAATGCACGAGGCCATGCACCACGTGCCGGGCTCTGTCCTTGGCACTTTACCTGCACGGACTCACTCGGTCCTCACGACGCCCTGGAACCACAACTTCCCCTTTAAACAAGGAAACCGAGGCCCTGCAGGCTACCCAGGTGGCATAGCGAGGCTCCACGGCTCTGAGCCCTCTCAGGTGTGAGGAAAGGCCCAGGTGACCTGGCCCCAGCCTCACCCTCTCTGCGCCATCTGGGCCTCAGTGGACAGCTGGTATCCCTGTCCCCTTGAGCCGCTGCTGTGCCCGCGGTGCCCTCTGCCTGTCCCCAACCTGTGTGCTGCACTGACGCGGTTTCCTAGAGCATGGACTGGGTCCTCCTCCTCTACGTCCAAACCTGGCGTCTCACGAAGCAAGTGCTCAGCAAACACAAAACCAGGAGGGGCTCCGGTGAGCTGCGGCGAAGACCTCCCGTGGAGGCAACTGCGCTGGCAGGCGCCGTGAGTCAAACAGAGCCAGCGCACACAGGAGGAACCGGCCTCTGCTGCCTGCGCAGCGTGCCCTGGGGCCCCTGTACCCCCTAGCGCTCAGCATCGTACCCCCGGTGCTGTGGCTATGTGTCACGTCCCTCAGGGCTGAGAGTGGACGGTTACAGGCTGGGATGCGTGACAGGGTCCGCTCACGGGGAGGGGAAGCCTGCATTAAGGAAAAGCACATTTATAACAGCAACTTTTTAAAACAAGGTATTTTTCAAGCTGGCCACGGTGGCACACGCCCGTAGTCCCGGCTACTCGGCAGGGAGGCTGAGGCAGGAGGATCACCTGAGCCCAGGAGTTTGAGGCTGCAGTGAGCTGACATCTCGCCACTGCACTCTAGCCACGGCAACCGAGTAAGACCTTGTCATTTTAAAAAGAAAAAAAAAAAAGATACTTTAAAAAAGTTGACCATTTCAGAATCTAACTTTACCTCCAGGTAGACCCAATCTTTTAAACTCTCTTAACTGCATTTTTTTTCTAGGCAGGTGAACAAAATCTCTGACAGCCCAGGGGCTGGGGTGCCACTCCCAGGTGGGGGATTTGCAGACCAGGTGCCCAGAGAAGGAGCCGCCACGACGGACGCGGGCGGAGGGACTCACCCTGAACGCGGTGCCTTCCTCGATGATGGTTGGCAGCTGAGACAGGCAGATGTCGACGGCGAGGTCCCAGGCCTGCCTGGGGAGAGAACAGAGCGACACCCGCCACGCGTTACAGGCAGCGCACAGGTGCGGGCACCACCCAGGGTCTGGGCAGCGACCTGTGCCTGGGCAGCAAGGGCCTGGGCGGGGCACGAGGCGTTCAGAACCATCTAGGCTGCGGGAAACACCCGGGGGAGGCCAGGAGGGGACGTGGTGACGAGGCACCAGTGGCGCTGGCAGCTATGACCTTTCTGTCATATTTTTTTTCTCTTTAAAATAAAACGAGAAAAATAACCTGGGAAAATAAAGGAATACTTCCCGCCTGCTAGTGTGGCTTCTGACCCTCCAGCCACATGCAGCCCACACACCTGAGCAGCTGTGGTCCCCAAGGAGGCCCTGGTGGGGCCGTTGTCACACAGAAACGTGGGTCAGATGCCGGGGCCTGGCCAAGGCGCTTTACCAGGAACAGGCGGGTCGGCGTGGGGCCAGGGGACAGTACTCGGCTTGTGGACCCACGTCCCTTGTGGTCAGGACTGAGGCCTGGGTGGTGGCCAGCACTGCCAGGCCCCAGCAGCCCACGCCCAGGTGGTCTGAGCTGGGCTGCCGAAGGCCAAGGATGCACCGGTGACCCACAAACCACGTGGGGCGGCCACTCGGCCCTTGAGGACGAGACAGGCAGTGCTTGTTTAGGGTGAGGGGTGAGAGTCTTCTCGACGCGCGGACTTGGCCAAGACTGCCAGTCCCCTGTGGCATCACTCACAAGATGGGGCAGCGACTCCTCCCTCCAGGCCCCTGGCTGTGCTCGGCAGTCCCCGTCCCGGGGGTGGCCTGCGCCCCCCAAGGCAGAGCACCTGCGCCCTGTTCCAGCGTCGAGCCAGCCCTTTGGGTTCAGTTTTGAACTTCAGCATGAGAGCCCACTGCAAAGTGATTTATGTGGCTTCAACGACACACGTTCTTACATAATTCTGGGGGAACGGGGCTCGAAGCCTCAGAGAAGTCCAGCTGCTCTTGCGTAAGGCTCTTTGGCAAGCGCCTCTCCTCCGGGCAGCTTCTGAACGGCCGAGAGCACAACAGAGCAGGGAGCACTTGGGTGTGAAGCCAGACAAGCAAAGGTCCAAAGAGAGGGTTTAAAAAAAAATCTTTTCTGTGTGTATAATTTGGGGCATAATTATATATACATATTTTATAAACTTTTAATTTGGGCTGGTTTTAGGCTGACAGAGGAGTTGCCACAATGGTAGAGTCTCCCCAGATAGCGTCCCCAGCCCTCGTTTCAAGGTTTATTGATTGGCGATCGATAACTGCTCGAACGATTGATTGCTCAGGCCTCAGTGAGACGCCGGCGCCGTCAGGACCAAGCCCTAGTTATTCCCTCGAGTAAGCTACTTTGTGACTTCCCTAGTGCAAGCCTGCAGCTGGGAAAGCCTGGCGGGCAGGTGACGCAGGTGTGGCCGAGGATGGGACGAGAACTGACCTGACTGAGCGTGGTCGGCAAAGCGTGGGCTTCTTCTGTCACTCGTCTAACCCTCGACGCGGCGCACGCGGCTCCCACCCCACTGAGGAAGCTCGAGGGAGGAAAGAGGCCGCCCGAGGCCGCCTGGGGAGAGGGGTGTGGGGACCCCAGCCACGGTGATCGCAGCCGAGGTCCGGCCCGAAGCTGTGGCTCCCTAGGTCTGGAGTCTCCACGTCCTCCACCCCGGGGCTGGGGACTGGCCAGGGACGTATTCAAACAGGCACCGCAAAGCCGACCTCTTACCCAGGTCTGTCTGCTGCCCAGCGGGCGTGCAGGGCAGAGTGACCTCAGCCCAGAGCCTCACTGAGGCAGGGACTCC